AGATAGATAGATAGATAGATAGATAGATAGATAGATAGATAGATAGATGATAGAGAGATAGAAGATAGATAGATGTGAGAGAGAGAGAGAGAGAGAGAGAGAGAGAGAGAGAGAGAGAGAGATGGCAGATACTCCCCCAGTAGAATTTGGTCTCTTGAAAAGAGAACTTAATGAGAACATTAAAGAGAGGTGCTCTCAGAGGACAGAGGAGACTAGGAAGCCTGTTCAGCAGTCATGCCACAGAAGAAAGCCAAGTCCTGGAGAGGACATGAGGGAACAATGCCGCTGTTCAGAAAAGATGGTCTGTGTAATAATAAGCTGTGGTGGGGCCTGACTTTGTGACTTCTGAAATTGGACATGAACTTCGGTGTCCTTAAAGCCCTGATTCAGCCTGCAAGTTCTATTCCATAAAATTCCCTTTGCCTAGAAAAATTGCCAACCCTTAAAATTTTCAAGTAAAATGACCTCAATTTATTGACCTGCACACAAAGCCAGTCAGTGGCACAATTTAATTATGTGGCATTTAAATGATGCTGTACTTTTTAATGTGCACTTTATATTAAGGAAACCTTAAGTCAAAAGGTATATGGGCATTGACACTGGATACTAATTTTGATCAATATTTTGGCTAGTCATCTTGATTGATCATTCAGATTCTTGCTCCACCCTTTACTAGGTATGAACTTTAGGAGCGTTCTTCAAAGCCCTGAGTCCCCATTCACTCATACATCAAAACAGGGCCAATAATAACTATAAACAATATACAACAACTGAAAGGATCTGGAGAGAGAGTGAGTACTCAATAAAGGATATCCATAGTAAGTATTATTATAAACTACCAATGTTGCTCCTCATTTAGCCCAAAGATAAACAGTAAATAAGGGAAAAGCAGAGACTTCAGAGCACGTTAACAATGTTTCTGTAACTTTGGGATTCTCAACCTCCACACTATTGCTATTTTACTCTGGGCAGCTTTGTTGCTGGACTATGCTGTTCACTGCAAGATTGGCTGCATCCCTTGCTTCTACTTACTAGATGCTAATGTCATCATGTCTTCTGAGGACAAGAATCAGACACATTGGAGCAGTACCGGTTTGTGTGGCGTTTTGTCCCACTTCCACAGGACAAACTTCAAAAGTTTTCATAAAGGGCATCAATAACTCGAACAGCTGCTTTGTGGAAACAATCCTACCATGGCGGGAGCAGCTTAAGCAGCAAACACTCAACAAGGGAACTGGCTCCTACTTCCTGCTGCAGGAAACATTCTCTTTGCATTACTTGTTTCAATACCTTTGTCTCCTTGGATGGGCGCTCTCCTTAAGTAAACACTGGGGATCTGGGAGCTGGGGAATTCTCCAGCCCGAGCTTTGTATGTGTCTTCACACCACAAAGGCCCATCTTTATTTTTTTATTTTATTTTTTTACTTATTTATTTATTTATAAAAATTTCCACTTCCTCCCCCCTCCCAATACCCTCCCACTCCCCCCACTCCCTCTCCTCCTCCCTCTCCAGTCCTAAGAGCAGTCATGGTTTCCTGCCCTGTGGGAAGTTCAAGTTCCTCCCCCCTCCCTCCAGGTCTAGGAAGGTATGCATCCAAACAGACTAGGATCCCAAAGAGCCAGCACATGCAGACAAAACAAGTCCCAGTGCCATTATCAATGGCTTCTCAGACAGCTCCCATGTCAGCCACATTCAGAGAATCCGGTTTGATCACATGCTCATTCAGTCCCAGTCCAGCTGGTCTTGGTGAACTCTCATTAGATCAGTCCCCTTGTATCAGAGGGTGAACGCCCCCCTCGCGGTCCTGACTTCCTTGTTCATGTTCTCCCTCCTTCTGCTCCTCATTTGGACCTTGGGGGCTCAGTCCAGTGCTCCAATGTGGGTCTCTGTCTCTAGGTTTCGCTCCTGCAGGGTAGCTTTGCTTACAGGTGCTGAGCCTTTCGAATTGGCTCGCTACATCTTTAAGCATTATGTCAGTGCCTTATGCACAGCATCGAACTGCGATTCTCCACAGAGCAACTTGCCAACCTTCCTTATGCTTAACTGCACTAGAGTCTCGAATGCTAACATATGGGAGCTTCATACTAAGAAGGGCAGGTGGGACCTGCTGCCTTGCCTCCTCCACTTCTGTCTATTGGAGGCAGATGCTGGTGGCCGTGTCACCGCATATCCCCATCTGTAATATCAGCGGGCAAAAACCCACGGGGGAAAATACGCAGCCCTGAGATATACCCCGGCATGCCCTACTCACTGACCTACCCACTGCTGCTGCTATGAGCACAAAAGAGCATGCTCCACTGCTCCTGTCTCCTCGGCCAACACACATACACCCTCCCTACCAAATGCAGAGCGTCAGTTTGGGGATTCCGTCCAAGAGCTGCAGTGTCTTGGTGGTAGTTCTATTTTGCCTGGAGTCTATTGTTTAGACATACGTCTAGGGCTAGGGATGTAGTGCCATTTTGCAACTGAATGAATCTAAGATATCCCCTGATATGAAAGGCTTCGCCATGGCATTAGGGATCCAGTCACACTGCTGAGACAGAATTCAAACAACGTGTTTCCTTCTACTCTCTGGATTGTTGGGACAAAGCTTGACAGTGGGGAGATCACTGAGCAGCCGTGGTGACTTCCTTACCTGCCTGAGGAGCCGTGAGCCTTGCTCCTCTTCCTGGAGCCCTGGTAGTGCACTCAATCTTGCGGGGAGACACATGTCTAATGTCACAAGGGATGCCTAAGGAGAATTTTTAAAGTTTGTAAATACACCAGCAGATACACATGTACACACAGAGAGACGCGCACACAACAAATTAATTAATTCACTAAAAAGTAGACGAATGTTTAAAATGTAAGAAAGCTTCCCTTCACACTCTTGGATCATTAGAGATATAAACTCCTATGGCATTTAAAACTGTACCATTTTCATCCATTTTAACATAATTACCTGCAATGGTAACCTGGGCAGAAGAGTCAAAGAAATCTCCTGTAATGGTGATGTCTGTTCTTCCACCAAGGCTCCCAACTTTTGGAAACACAGATTGAATTTCTGCAAGAGGTTATACAAATGTAAGCTTCTAGATAAGCAATGTGATGTGCCCTGGACAGTAAGAGAAAACATCATAACATAATTCTCACGCCACAAGTCCAGCAGCAGTTGAAGCTTTTCGAATTGTCTTTTTAAATGTCCTTAATAATAAAAAGGACTATAAATATATATTATAGAGGATCGGTATTTATAGACAAGGTCACTCACAGTATCAGCAAAAGTCTTTGCACCCCTTATGCTTTCTTCTGAAATATGTCTCTTCCCATCAAGGGTTTAGTTCAACAATGGAGGACAGTAGTTTACACCACATGGAAGAATCACTAATAGATGCACAGGGCAGAACTTTCGTTGCCCCAATCTTAGTTCTTCCCCATGTTGCAGGCTTGTACCACAGGCACACACAGATCACCCACACTGCTTTCACGCCAAAGCCTCTACAGCAGTGGTTCTCGGTCAGTGGGTCTCAGCCCCTTTGAGGGTGCAGATCAGATATTCACTTTGTGACCCATAACAGTAGCAAAATTACAGTTATGGTGTAGTAATAATTTTATGATTGGGGTCACCACAACGTTAGGAACTGTATTAAAGGGTCACAGCATTAGAAAGGTTGAGAGTCACTGTTCTATAGCAATGGGATAAATACCCACAAGGATTTCATGTTATCCTTTCTTTAAAGATTTGTTTTAATTATGTGTTTGTGGGGAATGGAACTTGCAGATGCCAGAAGAGGGCATGAGACCATTTTGGAGTTGAAGTTATAGGTTGTCCCCAGTGTTGGTGCTGGGAACTTAACTTGGGTCTTCTGCAAGATGAGTGTGTGCTTTTAACCACCAAGCCATCTCTTCAGCCCCGTGTCCTTTCTTTAAATGCCCACAGTTTGAAGTTTGTTTTTTTTTTTCAGGGTGAAGAGGAGCTGTGATCTTTGATAAGCTAAGTGTAAACTTATATTTATTCACACTATAATATATAGTAAACATATATTCAGAGAATGACATAAACTAAGTGTATTTACTTAGAGGTTGATCCTTCACTTAAAGGCTTATAAATTCAAAATAGGAATCTGTTTTTAAAAACTACTTTGCTCCTTGACATCTTCATGCACGAATAAGATGCATTCTAATAAATTACCTTCACTTTCCACCCTCTCAAGACCCTTCCATCCCTATGAATCCTTTTCACACATTCGAGTCTTCTGATTTTGTCTGGTGACCCACTGAGATTGAGCAAGGGTGACCGTTGGGCCATAAGTTTAGTACTTTCCACTGGAACGTGGTATACTCGTCAGTGGTCCCAAAACCGAAGACAAGGACTCCCCATCTTCCAGAATCTTTCAGTTTCCAATAGTTAAACAGAGAGGGATAATATCTCATGGCACCCTCTTCCACCATAACTGGTGGCTAATGGGTTAACCTGCATCCTGTGCAGGTGCAAGTTCAGTGCAGATTAAATGCAGCCACTGCAAGCTCATGATTGCAGTGACTGCACCATACCTGAAGGTGGTATTTTATACCTCTCGTCCCTGTGTCTGACTCCTATATTCTTTCTGCCCTTTCTCCCACAGTGTTTCTCGAGCCTTACAGGAGGTGTTATTTAAGGAAATTTCTTATTTAGAGGTGAGCGCTCAGTCATCTCTTATCCTCCACATCTGGAGTAGCTGCAGGTCTCTGGGCTCACTATTGTTCACCAGAAGAAACGGATTCCTGGCCTTTTAGGACAGCTGTGATGGCACAATCTTTTTCGACATTCATAGTGGCTACTCGTTTGCACTAGGAAGATAGAGATGAATTTTCAGTAGTTCCTTTCTTCAAGTCAATGACTATGGTAAGGAAGTGAATGTATAAAGAGTCTAATTACGGTACTTCAGGTCGGGTAAATTAGAGAGGCTCTGAGGTATAGAAAAAGGCTCAGGAGAGACTGGGGTTACCGAGGAGAGAATAAACTTTCTGGAAATGCTATCTGAACTGATGAGTTTAAACTCACCAAGGAAAGCTAAGCATGCAAGTGTGCATGTAGGTAGAGCGCTGGAACCGGGAAGGTTGAAACCAGGGTCTAACAAAGTCAACGCTGGCTTAGGTTATATATTAAGACTTTATTTCAGGAATAAAATGGAAAAATATATATAACTGACCACATAAAAGGGAGAGGGGACATTAAAATAAGTAACAGCCAGAATAGGGAAAAGGTTCTACAATATAGAACCTACAATATAAAAGCTACATATAGTGTAGCTAGAATAGGTAGAGCGGTGGAAGGGAAGCAGGGAGGAGGAAGGGGAGAACCGGGAGCTGCAGAAGCACAGAAGGTAGCTGAAGACAGACTCTTGGGCTGTTTCTCACCGAAGATGATAATCCTTTAGAGCAATGGTTCTCGACCTGTGGGATCATGGCCCCTATGGGGACTGAGTGACCCTTTCATGGGAACTGCCTAAGATCATCCTGCATGTAAGACATTTGAATTACAGTTCATAACAGTAGAAAAATTCCAGTTACAACATAGCAATAAAAATAATTTTATGACAGGGAGGTCACCACAACATGATGAAATCCTTTACAAGGTTAGCGACGTTGAGAACCATGGCTTTACAGGGTATGCATGGTGAGGAAGAGTCAAGTGGGTGCTTGATGTAGAGACTCCTGGCAAATGGGTAGAACTTGGATCTTCAGAGGATAAATGTCAAATCAGAACCCTTAGAAATCATGAGAGCAGGCTATTCAGGAGATTATGGGGCCCATAATGGCACAGTGGTTATCCAGATAAAATAGATGTGCCGGCCACGTGTAATGGCACAGCCTTTTAATCCCAGAACTTGGGAGGCAGAGGCAAGCAGATATCTGAGTTCGAGGACAGTTAGAGCAACACAGAGAATCTCTGTCTCGTGACTAAAATAAAATAAGATAAAAATAGACATGCCATATTTAAGAAGCATATGAGAAACAAAATGAAGGAATTTGTGATTCTGTGAGCATGATCATAAAAAGGACAGAGAATTTTGGGTGAATTCAAATACTCTTCCTCACCAGCTACTTTAGACAATCTTGAGAGTTAAAGGGAAAAGCGCCACATCATTCATTTCACATATACTGAATCCAGGCTCAGCAACTTAGGGGCTTAACCACATTGGACTAGTTACCGAGTGCCAGCCTGCAGAGGCTCAGCCCCAGACTCCATAGATTGTCCATATCCCCAGGGATGCCGCCACTATGAAAATGTTCGTGTCCCTTAGTCTTCAGCCCAGGAAGTGTATGATAATGGATATTGTCAGCCTACCCCTCCAGCACGGCAGGGCTCTACAATCAGAGAAGAGTCGTGGAAGCCTGAGTTACGGTACCAGAGACAGCATGCGTCCTGAAGGGTGTTGGTTACATGCATGAGGTTTTTTACCAGTTTGAAAGGGCCTTTGGACAGGTTACATATCCTCTTAATCTGTTTTCTCCATAGAAAACTAATGGTGATGTACCCTAGCTTTCAATTGAAAGAAATGAATATTGAAGTTATATGCCAAACACTCAATAAGAGATTGGTCATCTTGTTGCTCCTGTCACTGTGTATCCCTCGGTATGGGTGCTTCTTCACACCAGCTCTCAAACACACTAAACAACTGTTTAAGGAGAAGACATGCCAGGGTCAGAATTCAGTTCCAGCAGCATCGACTGTGTAGAGAATGAATGGCGTTTGTCCCACCATCTATGAGATGATAGCTTTCTCATTTGGAGAAGCAGATTCTTGTTGCTTCTGAAATCTGAACCTCCCACAGACCCATTTTCAGTGGGTTTATTGTTGCATTAAAACCGACACACTAAGTGCACTCTTTAAATACCAAGTGCCTACTACAGAACTGAGTTCACAATTTCATGCAAGTTTCCAATTTCAGTGTTCTTCTTTCAGTATCAGGGTTTGACCATCAGAGGGCAACACCACAGCTTGGCATCAGAATAGGCAAATTATAAAGCATTGGAAGCATGCATGAATTCAGAGATGGGTGCTAAAATGACCAGAAAGAAGTCCTGTTATATTTTTTAACCACCACCTTTCTTTTGTTATTTTTTAGAACACAGAGGAAGACATGACTGTTGTTTATTTCATTCTGTCTATATCCATAGACTTTGTATAGACATCTACGATCAAGCCTTTTTGGATGCAGTGCTTGACAAGGCATATACCCACAACAGTTCACATCTATATCAGTAGTCCCATAGACTGCACTGGTGCTGAAAACTTTTTGTCACGTAGTGACATCAGCAAGTCTACTGTAAGGATGTATCACAGTACACACCACACATATCCGTGATGTTGCTGGTGCATATAAACCTACTATGCTGCCATTGGGGGAGGATGAAAGAATGGAATGGGAAGTGAAATAGCTACAATTTGTTACACAAATTATTAAATTGTCATGCAATAACACAGTGTTAAAATGCAATAAAAAGCATAACACAAACTTGTACAATCTAGATTTAACTTAATCTAGATAATTGCATTTATCAGCTTATTATATTATGCTATTCCTATACTTTTTATACTATTTATGGTGATTTTTTTGTTTATAAAATAAAGAGTTCAGTGTAAAACAGTGTGCTGCATTACAGTGACACCATCATCATGCATGTCATGTTTTCCTCATCTCCTGCTTGCATAAAGTAGCCACAATGCATAGTTGAGCTGCAGCATCTACATTTGTGTGTATGAAAGCTTTGAGGAAAGCGTGGTAACAAAAGCACCTAATAATGCTTCCTCAGAGCATCAATAAGCAAATCAGGACTGTAAATACTAAAGTTGACACACATACAAGCAACCTCATTTCAACCAGAATCAAGATGTCATGTTAATGGCCAAAGAGAAACTGACATAGGAAAAAATAGGAAAGTCTAACATTGAGTGCAATTCAAGGAAAGAGAAGAAGAAGACAGGATGAAGTACCTGAGTGTGTCTGGTATAGGAACAGGTCCTGTTTAGCACTGATCAGCCAGGCTTCCTTGTGCACCATCGACCTTCAATGGAAAATGAAGGCTTTTGGTAAAATGTCACTTACTGTTGCATTTTCTAAAAAATTGGCTGCTTGAAAGGAAGTTCACAGAATAACCACCAATAAATTTAACAGTTTGGACACCAGCTGCCTTTGATAATGAGAAAACAGTATCAATGGATACAAACTCTTCTCATAGATAGAATGATTATATGGAAATAATCTTTCTTTTTTAGAATGTTAGAAGCATTAAAGGCAACAGCAAACATGAATGGACCTGATTCTGAGCTAACATACACTAGATAGATACAGTAGATTACACACTGGATAAATGGATACAGTAGAGCTCTACAATACAGTAGATCACTTCCGAGCAGAGAAGAGAGAAAGAGAAAACAAATCCAAACTTTGAGTTATATACCCATGTGTAGTTGTTAATATAAATACAATAAAATTAATTAATAACAAACAATGCACTTTCAAGGACAAAAACATCTAGCAGAACAAGAATAAAGGTGCACATAGAAATCCAGAATCCTAATTTATCCGTGTCTCCAAAGAATGATGAAATATGAACTCTTTGTGTCTTGAAGAAGGCAATTTCTATAATGACACAATGTGTCTCCGAAAAACTGCATCCCACAAAACATGTGAGAGCTGCATTTGCAATGTCCTTTGACTTAAGGACTAGTTCTTAAAATTCTGTACCATCCCTATATTGAAACATTTGTGATGCCCGTAGGTAAGACAGAGAACAACGCTCACTCAAGTGAAGGAAACCAAGGAGATGTAGGACACTTTCTATATCCTATGGGTGTACGGTTGGAATGATGAAGGCTAAAGAGAGTAGGACACAGGATGTTACACATAATACAAGACACAGACAAATTTGTCTGCCCCAGTTACTTACCTCCCTTTGTTAAATACTGAGAAACTAACATTTTGGGAACCTGAAACACAAAGAAACAGCCATGAATACAGGTCTACACATGAATCTCCTAGGCCAGGCTATTGCTACCCTAGGCTTAATGCTCCTACTTCGTCACTACTGTCCAAGCCTGGAATTTCTTTCATGTTGCCCAGGAAAAGATCTCATGGACTTTCATGACAAAATGGACACATGTAAGTGAAATAAAGCCCAGGGCTTAGATTTAGATGAAGCATGATTTAAATCCTAACACACTGGTTGACATTGTCTATATAATCACTTGTAAAATAAAATTGCTGATTATGATACATAAATCAGTTGATATGGAAGTTGTTTTGTGTAGTGTTTTTAAAAGTTATTTTGGTAACAATTGTTATCATCATGATGCTATCTGATGAACATTTTTCCCATTTCTGGATATCAAGAAAGAAATAGATGAGTCTTTTAAATAATTAGCTTTAAAACAGACCAATGTAGTTGCCTTCCACACGGCACTGCACAGTCCCAAGGCCATGTTCCTCCTGGATGGGAAAACTGAGAAAGACATATTGAAGTAAGAATAACCAGGAAATTTCTTAGAATTCCAAACTGTTTAAGAAAGCAATATATAGAGGTCAAATTAGGCAGAGAAACTGAAACATATTGAAGGTATAGTAAGGTCATGGTCGAATCCTTAGGATCATGCTAACTAGAATTGTCAATATATAAGCCACATGCCAAATGCATAGTGTGGGAATCAAAATTTAACTTATTCCTAATTTCTATTTAGTTTTTTTCCAAAATCTATTTGATGGTGAATAAAATAAAATATATCGAAGATAAGAGTTAAAAACAGACAATTTAATGCAAATGAATTGAAGACACTAGGAAAAATACTATAGAATAGAATGTGGGCCAAGAAGCCAGGCCATAGCACACAATTCTTGTAATAACCCCAAAGGAAAATTAATCCACCTAGTTGAAATCATAGTAAACATCCAGTCAAATTGTGGCTATATGACCTAGAGCTTGTAGTACTCTTTTTAAAATGTTTCATAATGGGACTTCGTGTGGGCAAGGCTAGTCATACCTAGCTCTGGGTTTTATTAAGAGGGCCTGTCTCTTTGAACAGGGACGGTGAGAAATAGATCTATTATAATTCCACACACCAAACTTGAAACTACATGCATGCAGATGTAAAGTCTCATATATGCATGCCCCTACACATGTAAACATGCATACACAATCATGAACATCACAAGCATATTAAAAGAGGGGAAAGTATAACACATTTTGGGTATTGTTTGCTTTCCAGGTCATTATAGTCTGGTTAGTCATACAGGGTTATGGGTTCAGCTCTGCTGCTTGCTCTCTGAAACCCTGTGTGTTCTGGAAAAAAAATATGCATCTATCACAAGATGACTGACTAACTTCAATGCAGAGCACTGGACAAGCCTCGGCACAGGAGTGTGCCTTTAATAAACAGGGTCTACCTGTTTTCACAAAAGGTTTTAGATTCTTCCCTAAGTTTTATTTTCAGCTGATTCCCGATTCTTTCATCTTTTCCTGTGACTTTAAAGATAAGACAGCTAAGTGTGGCATGTGACTTGTATTTTTAAAATGATCAGTCTATGTGTATGAGGTTGTGCTGTGGAAGAAACCAGAAGCACACTTGTTCACAAGGAAACAGTAACAACAAAAGACACTCACCAGCTTCCTGTCTGCTTATTTACAAGGGAGCAAGGAGTAAGCCATTTGTCTCTGCCAGCTTCCAGGATCAATGGGCTGGATTGGAGGGCAGAAAAGAGAACAAAGACAAACTGTAATAGCTCAGTGTTCCCAGTAAACACAGCTGCCAAAAGACTGAATGATATGAACTTTCTTCTCTAAGCCTAACCAGAACCACTGCAGGGGACTCAGTGAAGATGGCAACTTTCCTCCTAGAGAGATGAGGTACCCTCAGAGCCTATGCTTCCATCACTGCTAGTGGGGTTTTATCCCAAATTTCCCCTCATCTCCATGATGACGATGCTTTGTCTGTACAGGTATTGAGCATGTGCCCTCACTGTCTCTTTTTAAAAGCTGAACCCCAAATTAAGGCTGAGATAGATCCAAGCAGTGAAGATGACACATTGGCTAAGGGTGTTCTTGGACTTTCTGTCCCTAGTAGAAGTCATTTGTTTTATTAAAAGAAGTAAAAGAAGTTAAGCATTTCTTAATGCTAGAAATAGAGGGCAGAATGAAAAAGATAGAGAAGCAATAGGAAACGCCTCTAAGACCTTCAGGGGTAAAGAAAAAATTAGACGCACCATATAGACAGCATGCAGTTGGGTAAATAATGAGGTAATGGTTCTTCTGCTTTATAAGTCGTCACTATGATTGCTGGATTTGTTGCGTGACTGTAGCTGCATAGAGTGTCCCATCAACTCTGGTCCTCTCCCCAGCACAGATGATTCCATAGTAACATTTTATATAACATACAAACATATATCCTGGCTGCAGTTTTCCCTCCCTCCTCTTCTTCCCACTCCCACTCCACCCCCTCTGTTCCCACCCCACACTCCTCCTCTGTTTCTGTTTAGGAGGGGACAGGTCTCCCATCAGTATCAGCAAAACATGCACACCAAGGTCCAGTAAGACTAAGACTAAGCATTTCACCATGTAGTAAGGCTTGGCAAGGTAACCCAGTATGGGAAGTATGGTCCCAAAAGCCAGCAAAAGAGTAGGAAACAGCCTCTGTTCCCACTGCTATGAGTTCCACTAGAAGACCAAGCTACACAACTGTAACATACGTGTGTATACATATATATATATACATATATGCACACATATGTATACATACGTACATGCATACATACATGCAGAGTGCCTAGATCAGTTCCATACAGACTCCCTGGTTCAGTCTCTGTGAGACCCTATGAGTCTAGGTTAGTTGATTCTGTGAGTCTTCTTGTGGTGTTACTGACCCATGTAGTTCTTAAAATCCTTTGTCCCCGTCTTCTGCAGGATTCCCCAAACTCCACCTCATGTGTGCCTGTGGGTCTGTATCTGTTCCCATCAGTTGCTGGATGAAACCTCTCTGATGACAATTGAGCTATGCACCAAGGTGGTCACAGAAGATGGTCAGTTCAGGCTGTGTATCCTCTACTGTGAGGAGTCTTAGCTGGGATCATCCATGTAGATTGCTGGGAGATTCCCTTGTGCCAGGCTTTTATCTGACCCCTAAAATCCCCCCTTTCCATGAGTCTCCTTAAGTACTATCCCCTTCCACCCCCCAACCTGATCACTCATGTTCCCATCCATACCCAACCTCAGTCCACTCACAAAATCTCTTCTATTTCCCCTTCCCAGGGAGAGCCAGGTATGCCCCTATTAACCCTCCTTGTTACCTAATCTGTCTGTGGATTGTAGCCTAGTTATTTTTTGTTTTACAGAAACTTCAGTTTCATGAGGTCCCATTTATTAATTGTCCATCTAAGTGCCTGTGCTATTGATGTTCTGTTCAGGAAGTTGTCTCCTGTGCCAATGCATTCGAGATTATTTCTCACTTTCTCATCTATCAGGGTAAATGTATCCGAATTTATGTTGAGGTCTTTGATCCAGTCTTTCTATGCCAGGATTATATGATTTTTATTACTATAACTCCGTAGAAAAGCTTGAAATCAGGGACTCTCGTGAACTTCTTTACCTATTCAGAATTATTTTAGCTATCCTGGATTTTTGTTTTTCCATATGAAGTTGAGTTTTTCTACTTCAAGGTCTGTAAAGAATTATGTTGGGATTTTGATAGGTATTGCATTGAATCTGTAGATTGTTTTTGGTAAAATGGCCATTTTTACTATTTAATTTACATTTAATCCTACCAATTAATGAGCATGGAAAATCTTTCCATCTTCTTATTTCTTCAGTTTCTTTCTTGTCATACAGGTCATACACTTGCTTGGTTAGAGTTTATATATTTAACCACCAAAATATTTTATATTATTTGAGGCTATTGTAAGGGATATTGATTCTCTGAATTTTTTCAGCCCATTTATCATTTGTATGCAAGAGGGCTACTATTTTTTTGAGTTAATATTGTATCCAACCACTTGACTAAAGATGTTTTTCAGCTTAGGAGTTCCCTGGTAGAGTTTTTGGGGTCATATATATATGTATGTAAATATATATATATATATATATATCATCTTCAAATAATGATACTTTGACTTTTTGTTTTCCAATTTGTATCCCCTTGATTTCCTTTAGTTATCTTATTGCTCTAACTAGAATTTCAAGTGCTACATTGAGTAGGTATAGAAAGAGTAGAAAACCTTGTCTTCTTGATTTTAGTAGAATTGCTTTGAGTTTCTCTACATTTATTTTGATGTTAGCAATTGGCTGACTGTATACTACTTTTATTTTGTTTAGATGTGTTCCTTGTATCCCTGTTCTCTCCAAGACTTTTATGATTAATGGATGCTAGATTTTGCCAAAGGATTTATCCACATCAAATGAAATGATTATGTGGGTTTTTTTCTTTCACTTTGTTTATATGGTAGATTACATTGATAGATTTTCATATTTTGAACCATTCCTGCATCTCTGGGATGAAGCCTGCTTAATCATAGTGGATGATCTTTTTGATGTGTTCTTGGATTCCATTTGCCAGTACTTTATTGAGTATATTTGCATCCATATTCATGCAGGAAATTGGTCCATAACTCTTTTTTTATTGAGTCTTTATGTGATTTGGAAATCAGTGTGACTGTGGCCTCATAAAAAGAATTGTCAATGTTCCTTTCTATTTTGTGAAATAATTTTAAAAGTATAGATAGTAACTCGTATTTGAAAATCTGGTAGAATTCTGTATTAAAATTGTCTGGCCTTGGGCTTTTTTCTCTTGGGAAACTTTTAATGACTACTTCTATTTACTTAGGGGTTATCAGTTTATTTAAATTGTTTATCTCATCTTGATTTAACTTTGGTAACTGGTATCTATTAAGAAATTTTGTCATTTCTTTTGTGAAGTATAGGTTTTTAAAGTATGACCTAATAATGTTCTGGATTTCTTCAGAATCTGTTGTTGTGTCTCCCTTTTCATTTCTGATTTTGTTGAGTTGGATATTCTCTCACTGCATTTTAGTTAGTTTGGATAATAATTTATCTATTTTGCCAATTTTCTCAAAGAACCAACTCTGTTTCATTGATTCTTTGTATTCTTCTCTATTTCTATTTTATTGATTTCAGTCCTCAGTTTGACTGTTTTTTATTGATTTTTATGAGCTCTACATTTTTCTCTGCTCCCCTCCCTGTCTCTCCCCTCTCCTTGAACCTTCCTCTAAGGTCCCCATGCTCACAATTTACTCAGGAGATCTTGTCTTTTTCTATTTTCTTCCATCTACTCCTCGTAGGTGGGTCTGCTTCTTCTTGTTCAATAGCTTTCAGGTATGCGGTTAAGTCACTAGTATTAGATAGTTCCAAATTCTTTATGAAGGCACTTAGTGCTATGAACTTTCCTCTTAGAACTGCTTTCATGGTGTCGCATAGGTTTGGGTACCTTGTGTCTTCATTTTTATTGAATTCTAGGAAGTCTTCAACTTCTTTATTTCTTCTTTGACCCAGTGTTAACTCCATAGAGAGTTGTTAAGTTTCTATGAGTCTGTCAGCTTTCTGTTGTTTCTGTTGTTGTTGAAATCCAGCTTTAATCCATGGTGGTCTGATATGACTTAGGAGGTTATTTCAGTTTTTTGTATCTCTTGAGACTTATTTTGTGACTGAGTATACGGTCAGTTTTGAAGAAGTTTCCATGTGGTGTTAAGAAGAAGGCATATTCTTTTGTTTGGGTGAAATGTTCTGTAGGTGTCTGTTAAGTCTACTTGAGTCATACTGTCTGTTCTGTTATTTCTCTGCTCGATTGCTGTCTGGATGACCTGCCCATTGCTGAGAGTCGGGTGTTAAATTCTCTCACTATTATTGTATGGGGATCTATGTGTGATTTAAGCCTTAGCAATGTTTCACAAATTTGGGTACCCTTACAATAGGAGCATAAATGTTCAGAAATGAAACATCATCTTTGTGGATTTTTCCTGACAAATATGAAATGCACTTCTCCATCTCTTTTGGTTAATTTTGGTTGGAAGTGTATTCTGCTACCTATTAGGATAGCTACACCAGCTTGCTTCTTATGTACATTTGATTAGAAATCTTTTTCCAATCTCTTATTCTGAGGCAATGTCTATCTTTGATGTTAAAGTGTGTTTCTTGCACGCAGCAGAAGAATGGATCCTACTTTCATATCCGTTGTGTTCGCCTGTGTTGTGTCTTTTTATTGGTGAACTGAGTTCATTGATATTGAGGGATATTAATGACCATTGATCACTGATTTATGTTATCTTGTTGTTTGTGGTGGTAGTGTGTGTGTGTGTGTGTGTGTGTGTGTGTGTGTGTCTGTGTGTCTGTGTGTATCTGTGTGTGTATCTGTGTATCTTTGTGTTTCTGTGTTTGTATGTTTCCCTTCTTTGGGTTTTGCTGGTGTGAGATTAACTATTGCCTGTGTTTTTGTGGGTGTAGTTAACTTCCTGGGGTTGGAGTTTTCCTCCTAGTACCTTCTGTAGTACTAAGTTTGTGAATAGATTTTTTTAAAAAATTGACTTTGTCATGAAATACCTTGCTTTTGCCATCTATGGTAATTGACAGACAGTTTTGCTGGGTATAAAGTCTGGGTTAGCATCCATAGTCCCTTACAGACTGCAAGGTACCAGTCCAGGTCCTTCTGGATTTCAGAGTCACCACTAAAAAGTCAGGTGTGATTCTAATAGGCCTGTCTTTTACGTTACTTGGCCTTTTCCCTCTGCCACTTTAATATTCTTTTTTTTGTTCTGGATGCTTAGTGTTTTGATTATTATATGACAAAGAATTTTCTTTTATAATCCAATCTATTTTGTGTTCTGTAAGATTCTTGTACCTTCATAAGCATGTCTCTTTTCAGGTTGGGAAATTTTCTTCTATGATTTTGTTTAATATGTTTACTGGTTTTTTGAGCAGTGTTTCTTCTTCTTCTTCTATTCCTATTATTTTTATGTCTGGTCTTTTCATAGTGTCACAGATTTGCTGGATGTTTTGTGTTACAATTTTTTAGAATTAACGTTTTCTTTGATTGTTGAATCTATTTCTTCTGTTATGTCTTCAATGCCTAAGATTCTTTCTTCCATTTCTGGTATTCTGTTGGTGATGCTTGCATCTGTAGTTCCGGTTCACTTACCCAGATTTTCCATTTTCCAGAATTCCCCTCACTTTTGTTTTATTGATTGCTTTTATTTCCACTTTTAGATCTTGAGCAGTTTTTTTAAATCTATTTGTTTGTTTTGTCTTGGCTTTCTTTTTAAATTATTTATTTATTACTTTATTGATTTTATTGAGCTATACATTTTTCTCTGCTCTCCTCCCTGCCTCTCCCCTACCTTTCAACCCTCTCCCATGGTTCCCATGCTCTGTTTTGGCTGGGTTTTTTTTTTTAGGAATTTGTTGATTTCTTCCAATTTTTTGTTTGTCTTTCCCTCAATTTCTTTAAGGAACTTCTTCATATCCTCTTTCAGGACTTCTATCATCTTTATAAATTTACTTTTAAGAATATTTTCTTTCTTTTTTGTTTTAGACAGGGTTTCTGTGTGTAATAGCCCTGGCTATCCTGGAATTCACTGGAACTCTCTGGAACCAGGCATGCATTGAACTCACAGAGATCTACCTGCCTTTGCCTCCAGAGTACTGGATTTATGGGCATGCATCACCACTACGGTTGTTTTCTTGCGCTTCTGCTGTGTTGAATTGTTCAAGTCTTGCTGTTGTAGGATAGCTGGGCTCTGGTAATGACATATTGTCTTTTCTGTTATTGATTGTGTTCTTCCACTGGTGTTTAGGAATTTGGATTTGGGGTGATTGGTGTTGATCCCTGCATTTGTCTTTCTTGTATGTGTGTTTTGTTCCTTCATTTCTCTTTCCTCTTTGGTCTTCTGGTCTCTGGTAAAACCAAAGTCTTCTTCCAAAGTTGTAGATCAGGAGATGAAATGCAAGGGAAATGGTTCCTAGATCTGATCTACCTCTGGGATCCCTAAGATAAGCCTGGCCTCCAGTACAGAGGCTGGGGCCAGGCTCCCTAGATCTAGTCTGTACTCCTAAAAGCTGAAGTCTGTTTCTGTAGTAGGCCTGGATATGGAGACCAGGGGTGAGGGTGTAGTTTGGAGTTGTTGCACAGGCTTAAAGAAGTTTAGAGGTCAGTGGGCAGTGTCTTCCCTAGAGTCCCTAGGACCACTCTCCAGTAAAGATTTGGGGGCTATGGGCCCTAGTGTGGAGCCCAGGGGAAGGGGGGCAGTCTGCAACATTTTATACTTCTAAAATAGCCATTAAAGAAAGTCATGTTCACATTTAATCCCTCCCAATAAACATTACAGGCTACATAGTTTTTAGTACCTGAGCCCATGGTTCCTTCCCTCTTTGGTACCTGAGCCCACACTTCCCTCTCATCCAATCAGCAGGACTTCTAAATGCATGTATGGGCAATAACTAAACGGAGAAGTTAATGGATTTTAGTGTTTATGTATCCTTTTAGAAATAATTTACTTTAACCTAAGAGAGGATGGATGAAAGGAAGGGTCAGAATTGAAAAGGAAAACCCTTGGATGTGGTTACGGTGCAGTTCACAGAGCCCAGTTGCTACTCGTCAGAAAAAAAAAAAAAATCTGGCGGTTGCAATCACATTCACAAAGTAAAAGCAGGAATCTGGTGCACCAGGGACCATAAACAGCATAGAGAAAAATAGCAGTTCTGTGCCGAGTCCTTGCAATTTGCTGCTGCAGAGGAAGCTGCTCATCTGCACCTGGGTAGCCAGGTGAGCACAGGAACAAACCTAGGCTTACCTGTCAATGTAGTCCACATCAGGATCAAAGGTTTCCAACTGGTCAGCAATGATCCAGCCATATACATGTATGACTTGTCCTGTTTAAAAAAAAAACAGTTCAAAATGCAATAAGCTTAGTGCAAATTCCAAATGAATAACATAAATTCTATTTGATTTTGTTTTGTTACATATATCCAACAAGGCACAGGTGTATAAAATTAACAGGTTTAATAAATTATATAAATGTAAAATGAGTGCTAGAATCCAGTAATCAAGGTTACACACCAGGAAGGCTAAAATAATATAATACCTAAAACATTGATTGTACAGAAGTTTAGAATAGAATAGTACCTACCTATTCTACTGGGAAGAATAGGCTGGGAAGAATCCATGAGAGGGAGGGATAAGCCAAGGCTGACAAATGGCAGCTAAGTTCCAGTGAGAGGGGATAAATAAGTGCTGGTATTCTACTGCACAATTTGGTGACTTTACATAATGTCAGTGTACTATGTTTTAAAATATAGAAGGACTTGGAGTATCTTCAAATATACATTTGAGGAGACAGATACGCATATTTTGATATGAATGTATACAACATATGCACACATTAAACAACATATGCTATCCTGTGTGTGTGTGTTGTTTTATGTGCAATATCTCTCAACACTCATGAAAGCAGCTTCTTTTTTACAATAGATGGTGATTAACACAGAGACTCACAATTGGCCAACTTACAAAGTGTAAGAGTTGTGGCGTGTTTAGCTGTATTTGGGAATATCCATATCACACCCACACACACACACAAGTATTCCATGATCATTGTGGAAGCAGGGTAAAAAGATTGTAAGAGTTCGAGGCGAGGATGGTGGCTAAGAAACAGTGTTTTGCAGTCACAATGGGTCAGTTGCCCAAACAAACAAACTCACAGCACTTGTGGAAAGAGCATGCACAAAATATGTGCAAGCTAAAAGCAGACAACATGCTAGCCTGGAATAAGGGAGGTTAGCATGAAACTCTACCCCTAGACACAGAGCTACTGGAAGCTGTTGAGAGAGGGGCATCAATTTTCTTTAAGAGTGTGGCTTCTGATAAGTCAGCCATGCTCCAGTGGAAAGCCATACCCCCAAGAGTATGGGGGCATAAATTGTATTTGGTATTTGTTTGTTATAAGGAAAATAAAATAAAACACAAAGTTGCATAGATAGGGAAGGGGAAGTGAATCTGGACAGAGTGGGAAGAGAGGATAAATGTGATAAAAATAGATTGTGTGGAATTCTCAAAGAACTAATAAAAATGAGAACACAAAATGAAAAGCTAAATGAAGAGGCTGTATCACACAATCTCTGATTAGTCTTCAAGAATCCTAATTATCTTCCACATCTCAAAGTACAAAAGGCAAAAGACCCTCATGAGCCAAACAGACAGGAGCTAGAGACAAGCACAAAACAGCAAGAGAGTTAGGGCTCCAGTCTGGATAATGGACATATGTTGTTCCCTCAGCAAACATGCTGTTCAAAGACAGAGTGAGTCATGTACTGTCAAGTTCCTATAACACCAGCTACCCAAGATATACAGGCAGTAATATTATCATAAACTAGCTTGGCAGATGAGAGAGGTAGTGTTAGTTCAGTAAAACCTCAAGACTCTGCAAAGGATATACTTGGGGTCACTGTGTCCAGAAAACTCTGAGTTTCTCCATGCGCACTTAGAGCTGCTGAACCTCACCATCTGTGGATTCTCTACATGCTGCTGTGTGTGACATTGGTGAGGATTGGGACTTTCATCTGTGGTCATTGCATGGCTAGCACTGAATCTTTCAGGTGGATGAAGAGGAAGGGTGGGTCCTTAATGACTGAGACAAAGGTCAGAGTTTTCAGAAATCTTCTGCTGCTGCTAAATGGGCAGAATAGTTCTATTTAAAGTGGATGAAGCTGCACAATTGGCTTCCTAGTTCTCTAGGAAGAGGTCAAGCTTTGCTATGTTCCACTTGAAAACAGATAGCAGGTTACAGAAATTAGAAAACCCTGTAGGGTCTTCGGTTGCTTGTCCCTAAACAGAGAAGCCCAACAGGGGATGACAAATGGGCAAAGCGGAGCACAGTGCCAGGGGATTGCACGGCACGGTGAAGGACTGTTAAGCACATACAAAAATCCAACAACCCATAAAACGTCAGCTCGTACGTAGCTACCTCCTCCTGCATGTCCCTGGTTGCTACTCTGGCAAGCATCCCAAATGAAATGAGAGTAATTGTCTAGAAAGTGATTGCAGAGATGCAGCCAGATTGTGCCTTGAGGGACCACTCTGATGAGGCCAGCCACCAATTGTCCCCCCCCAGAAGGCGAAAGAGAGAGTGTGCAGAACTCCACTTTGGTGAGATAAACAGGTTTGACAGATCTGGAGAACAGCTGACATCCCACCTCATGTCTCCAATGGCTCCTTATTCACCCCTCATCAGAATAAGATTTCTGCCATCTAATCTGGAGCCTTCTACAGACAAACACCAGGAACCCAAATAACCATGTAACTGTCACTGTTTGCATTCTTTTTCATGAGACATGATCATGTCTTGGTTATTCAAACGAATGCAATGGAGTATATCTGTGAAAGTCTCATATCAGTAAGATAATGCCAAATTCTTGTTCTTTAGAATATAATTTAAATACACACATACATAAATCTTGCCTACACACACACTTTAACATTCAAACACTGTAACATAGATATTTATTCTTATTATCTTAACCAGTCAATCACTTCAAAAACAATTAGATCAAATTATGCAGTCTGACATAATCATACCTAAAAACCTAACAACATGGCCTTGTAAAATGGCTCAGTGGGTTTTAAAAAAGGCACTTCCCATTGAACACGATGACCTGAGCTTCATCCCTGAACTCACACGGTAGTAGGAGAGAACCAACTCCTGAAAGTCCTCTGACCTCTGTACACATGCTGTGATACTTGTGCACATGTACAAGGTATGCATACACACTAAAGATATGGAAATAAACAAATGTAATGATGTTTTTAAATTAGCAATGATGTTCCCAGATGTATACCTTACTGAAACTACAGAATACATGAAAAATCTGATATGTGCATACACATAGGAATTTGCCCATTAAAAAAAATAGTAAAGTACATTTTTAAAAGCTGTGTTTACTGTTTAGTTTTAAAGAAAGCTTACAAAGTTACTGGGTCTATGTCTCAGAGCATCTGCTTCTATGTAAACCCCTACCCACCCTTGCACAACCTCCTCCTTGTCCACCCTCCTGGCTCTAATATGCCTGTGTTTTGTCCTTTCCAAGCCTTTTGACTAAGATCAAGTACATATGTCTGTGTTTCTCTAACTCACGAACAAATCTTCTAGGCAAACATCAAGACTAATAGCATTCTGAGCTGCATACAGTACCAGTTGACACACGTCAAAATAGTAACATACACGGGCTTTATCTCACTTCAAACCTCGGCTGCACCACTTATTACTGATAGGACTTTAGAGTAGCAGTTCTCAACCTGTGGGTCTCAACACCTTTGGGTGGAGGGTCACATATCAGATATCCTGCATATCAGATATTTATGCTATGATTCACAGCAGCAGCTAAATTACAGTTATGAAGCAGCAACGAAATGATTTTATGGGTGGGGACTCAAAAGCATGAGGAACTGTATTAAAGGGTCGCAACATTAGGAAGGTTGAGAACCATTCCTTTGAAGAAACCATTTAATCTTCGGATACCTCATTTCTTTCTCCTCGAAATGAGAAACAGTTCCCGTAGCATCATGTTTTGTGATCCTCAGACAATAATACATATGGAGAGTTAAAAACGTAAGTTGGCACACAGCAAGGGTTCCGTGGGGACTTCTGGTGTGCATGGACTATTTCATGTGGGAATAAAGTGAGGGGTGGTTATTTCTGTCTTCTGCGGGCTCCTGTGTTCAATACTTTGGATTTTGTCAGACTGCCTTTTTTTTTAGCATGTTTTGGAATTTTTTATTATCCGTAAAGTCATAGAACAAAAGTGCCTAAAGGGAAAAAACAAACTAATTTAAGAAGAAACCAGAAGCTGGAACTTATTTTCAAAACTTATTTTCAAAACAAGAAGCTAATGGACGAGAGAAACCACACGCTGGTACAAGTGTTTACAAGGTTGGCCAAGAGAGTCACGATTATTCGTGGTTAGCAGAAGAGGTCTTACCTGGAACTCCACTTGGCGGGTTAACTTGATACACAACAGGTGTCTGTGCCTTGGAAAACTGAAAGTATTATCACAAGGGAACATTTTATTAGAATCCACTTGACCACAAAAGCCACAAGCTGGTCCTCAGAAAGCAGGAGGGGGAAACAGGATGCGTTGCCCCATCACGTCACACCTTCTTTTTGCTGTCCTCACACTAGTCCCACGAAGCAGGAATGACAGGCATCATTATATTCTGCAGATGAGTTCAAGGCATCTGTTCGAGGCCCTGCATCTCTCTACCCTGTACCATACGATTCAAATCTTGCAAGCCTCTTTCTATCTATTTACCTGTCACACCCAGGGACATATTTTGCCAAAAAGAAAGGGGGACAAGGTACCATCCAGAATGTCACTCTTTTAATTTCATTATTATAATCTAATATTTTTGAGTCTTAAAGATTCATATTTACCTAGGAAAGAATTAATTCTTAAGCTGGAAGGAGGGTAGTTTAAATTATTGCAAGCTAACCATATATATATATAATAGGTAACTGGATATACATGAGCAAAGTTGGAAAAACAAAAGGCACCTGTTTGTGGGAAAATAGTCAAGAAATGGGAAGGAACACTGTCCTTCAAGAAGGAGGTCATGACTCTGTCATGGCTCAGTGAATAAGACATTTGTCATGTAGGTGTGAGGACCTGAGTTTGAATCCCCACGACTCACAGAAAGTCAGAAGTATCTGTTATCCTGGTGCTCCTAAGGTGATTTGGGAAGTGGAGACAGATTCTCTGGAGGTTCATGGGAAAACAGCAGAGACTCTGACTGAAACAAGGTAGAAGCAAAAGACAGACAGACAGAAACCCAAGATTCTCCTTTGAACTGCATATGTTCACCAAGCCCACATGTGAATACACACACACACACACACACACACACACACACACACACACACACACACATGTGCACGCACACAAGAGGGAAATAACATTTATGAAAGAAGTGAGAACATGCTGAAGCCTAGTCATGGAAACCCAAAACCAACTTACAATGTCCCTTTCTTAAAACACAACACACGTTAGCTTCAGGCTTCCCCAATAAAGGATGTTGCCTGTTGCCGTTGCGCTTGCTTTCCTTTGCCGAGCCTGAATTGTAGGAGACATTTGTACTCCTGCCAATCCATCTAAGAGCCTATTCACGGTTGACTGACCTACTATTGAGAACGAAAGGGAGCGTGAGATAATTCCGGAAGTCTATCTAACCTACAGACACCTAGGTTAGGCTAAGAGTAGATAGCCTTGCTGCATCCCAGGCTACATGAGGAAATGAAGACACATACAGAACGGGCTGGACTGATCAGGCCAAGATTTGACCCAGGAGTTAATGTTTCACCCAGGAAAGAGACTTCGTCGCCATACTAGGCTGCTTCTTTTCTAAACACCTACAATGCTTCCCACTTACAAAACAAACTACAGCAAACTGTTTTGTTTGGGCTACATCCAGCTTCCTGGGAGTCCAAATTCCCAGGGAGACCATTACCAGAGAACAACCGTGGTTAATCAACGGCCCTAATCAGGCATCAGGAATGAAAAGGTTTTTTCAACCAAGCCGACGGTGCCCTGTTGAGTGTGGAGTGTAAGTATTGATCTACACGGCGGCACAGCTTGCCACCAAGGCCATTTTCCCCATTCTCTATGGGAAAGGGTTAGAAACTAGTTCACAGAAGACACGCACAGTCAGGGGGTCCAGATAAGGCTACTGTGACTTCACAGATTAAGGACTCGCTGTGATCTCAACAGAGGATAAAAATTAATGCAGTTCCACACATGATGCCAAACCAACCCAATTGCTGCTCTCTGCCTTTCTTCTCCCACGGGGAGGCCCTTCCTTCCGAAGTGACTTCCGTTGGAATTTGAAAGAGGTTGCTATTGCCCTCCCTTGCACTCATTAAAAAAACTGAGGCAGATGGAGCAGACCACTTCAAAGCAAATACTGACACGTACCTCTAGGTTTCCAACTTGAAATAGTAGATGTGCTGTGACATCTGCCATCCTTCAAGAAGTTAGTGGGGATATATAGACTCACTCAGTGCTTCCTTCCCACTCCTCAGAGAGTACTGACTGGGGTATATTTAGGGTTAAACCACAATGCAATTTTTAACTTGCGATTCTCTCTGTATTCATAAAACATAAAATAGTACCGTTTCTTAGAGAAACAGAATTCTGGTCACCCACTAGGCTGGAGACAAAACAGTGAGAAATTAATGAGCTTCCAAAGCAGGCTTCCTACATGCTGATCCCTGAACCCAGTGAGGTCAGCAACAGCAAGATGGGAAGGTAGGTGGGCCAGACAGGGGTGGCAAAACCAGCGGATTAGGAGGATAAAGTCACAGCTGCCAGCTGCTTGATAAACCTTCTGTGAGTCCTTCAGACTTGTCAGTGCCCGCAGCAGGCTCTTTGGAGTGGGCTGGCAAGATGGAATTAATTTTTAATACCCACGGTTCCCTTAGTCCCAGTCCCGAAGCAGAAAGGCACACTGCATCTGAGTTCACACAAGCGCCTCTCATTAACTGCATCCCCTGGTGATAGTTCATCAACTTACCAAGTTAGCAGAGCCACTGTTGGACCCGTTTTCTTTAATGTACAATTTCGGGAAGTGTGTTTCCACCCACCCCTGTCCTTACTGATCTTGATAATAAGTAGGAAAACTACTTCCTGAGGCGAAGGGAGCCTGGTGATTCAGGAGTGCTTAGACACTTCTCTCTGATGGTCCCTGAGCCCGGGAGAGGTGCTGATGCCATTCTTAAAGAGAAAGAATGATGGAACTTTGTTTCTTCCTTTTGCTACATACTTACAGAGACAATTTTTTTAGACAATAATATTCTCTTGGGTTGAGGAGATTGGACAATAAATTCCAAATTTCAAAAAGTTAGTGCTGATGTGGTAGCTGAGTTGAGTTTGGTCTTGACTCTAAAGCAGCATGACCTAATGACTCAGTTCTGTTCTCTGTAGTTCTTAAACGGAGCTCTTGAGCACCACTGGGAGCACCGCTGGGAGCACCACTGGAGAAATGCTGGAGCACCACCTTTTACGAGTGCCTGCTGCAAGGGTTGCTCTCTTGCAGCTCACTTTCCTACAAAGCTACATGGATCCTAGGCTGATCCAAACATAAAAGTAAGCCTAGTCTACATATGAAGAGTCTAAATTAAATATTATCAGATGCTGGACCAAAGGAAACTGCCCTCAGGTCTGCCATCTCACCTTCTTGATCTGTCTGACAGTGAAGGAGAGTTCTGGCAGCAAAGGGGATTTCAGACTAGTGTCAGGAAGAACAGCAATAGGTTCCCTGTAGCAGGGGGTAGGGAGATTGTGTCCCTCAAAGGACCTGGGACCCCTGAGTTCCTTCAGTATTCTAACACTCAGAATCAGCTGAAAACATGGCCCTTGTCCACAAAGGCATTGTCTGTGGTTCCTGTATGAGCTTCAGGTTCAATGTGGATTCCCAGACACATGAGAGTTCGAATCTTGGTTAGGCTCCTTACTGCCTGGGTGATGCAGCAAGCATAATAAATGGCCCCATAGTCAATTTGGGGGCATTGTACTACACATATACAGAAGGCAGTCAGCTAGAACCTGACATACAAGTAGTCAGTATTTGTTTTTCACAGTGTCAGAGAAACCCTAACATTCTCTCTATATTTCTTCTTCCCTATTAAAGCAGGCATGCTGTTGATTTATAACTTGTTATTGGCAATACATTTGCTATCTGAGCAGCCAAGCACACATTCCTCTCTCCTCAAAACCCACCTTGAAAGTACAGCCGTCCAGTGATCCTGAACATGAGGTGCCTAACACTTGCTCCCCAGAGCGTATCTCCAGAGAGTACAGTCTTGCATGGGCTTCAGACAGCAGAGATCTGGGGACAGAAAACGGAAATCTTTATGAATTAAAAAAGACACACAAGAGTTCCCACCTGACTGTTTCCCACTTTACCCCTGTATTTGTAAGACGGAGCTGAGGGAACGTCTCTATAATTCACTTTTCACCACCTAGATCTACTACTCCCTAGAGGACCACTTGGGCCAAGTCCTCACCAAGAGAAACTGTACTTCTTCTTGTTGTTGTTGTTGTTGAAAGTTCTTTAAACTTAAGAGCTTAATAGCTCGGAATTATGGGCTCATAGGACTTTAAGAGCTCAAGACAAGCACTTCAAAATATCAATTATGACTATGTTCTAGGATTTAAAGAGGCTATAAATATATCTTAATGAAGTCTATGGACACACAAAGAAAGAGTGAAATGAAGTAATGAAAACAGTTTGAGACATGAAAGTAGGAGTTAGCATCACTAAAGAAAACCCAAACTGAAATAAAACTGGAAATGAGAAAGGTAGGAAGTCAAACAAATAATTCAGAGATAAAACTTATCAACAGAGTTCAAGACATGGAAAAAAAAGAACCTCAGGCATTGAAGACAAGGTGGAAGAAATGGATACCTCAGTCAAACAAAAAGTTATGTCTAAAAATAAGGCACAAAGCATTCAGGAAATCTGGGACACCATCGAAAGACTAAATCTATAAATAATAGAAAGAGAAGACATCAAAGTAACACAGGTCTAAGACCCAGAAATATTTAAAACAAAATCATCGAAGAAAAGTTCATCAAACTAAAGAAAGAGGTGCCTATCAAGGTACAGGAAACAAACAGAATACCAAGTAGACTGGACCAGAAAAGAAATTCCTTACTACACAGGATAATAAAAACATTAAACATACAGAATAGAGAAAAGATATTAAAAGCTGCAACGGAAAAAGACCAAGTCACATAGATATTAAGACAGAACCATTAGAAAAATACTTTGTGACACACGTGTGAGGTCCACCCCTTTCTGAACAGAAACAGTGGAGGAGTGGATGGATGGACACCTGACTTCTCAATGGAGACTTTAAGAGTCAGAGGGGCCTAGATAGATATTCAGTAAACTCTTAGAGATGACAGATACCAACCCAGACTACTATACCCAGCAAAACTATCAATCAATCACAATAGACAGAGGGGAAAAAAACCACTCAACACTAAAACAAAATTTTCAAGCCTGTCCTACAGAAGTCACTAGAAGGAAAACACCAGTGAAGAAAACAAAAGAAATAAGTAATCTCAAAACAGTAAATCAAAAGATTGACAGAAATGCACAATGTATCAACATAGAAATCAATAACCACTACCCATCATTAACTATCAATATTAACGGTCTCAATTCCCAAATAAAAAAGACACAGGCTAATAGATTAGATTAGAAAACAGAATCTATTTTTCTACTGCATCCAAGAAATATGCTTTCCCATAAAGATAGGCATCATCTCAGGGTAAAATGATGGAAAAAATATTGTAAGTAAATGAACCCAATAAGCAAGTAGATATAGCCATTTTAATATTTGATAAAGTAGACATCAAATCCACAATAGTTAGAATAAATAGAGAAGGATACTACCTCCTCATTCGTCAGAGGAAAAATTCACCAAGAGGATATTGCAACTCTAAATATTTATGCACCAAACACGGTGGCACCCAATTTCACTAAAGGAGCCTCACTGCAGCTAAAATAGCATGCTGCTCCTCATACAGTGATGGGGTGACCTCACTTTCTCACTCTCACCAAGAGACACATCAACTGGACAAAAAAACTACACAGAAAAATGCTCAAGTTAAATAATGTCATAAATCAAAGGTATCCAGCAGATATTGATGGATCACCTCAAGCAAACACAAAAGAATATACTTTCTTCTCAGCATCTCATTGAACTTTCTCCACTATTGACCCCATACTTGCATATGTAGGTCATACTGAGGTCTTTAGAAAGACTGATTGAGCCAGAGGGTCAGGGAGTCTACTGTGAGATGGTGTCACCTAGTAATGTCAGAGGTTACACTCTGAAAGTCTCACCAACATGACTGCCCAAATGGGAGCTGAACAAGGACAGTAATCCTGCCAAAGTGAATGGGGAAAAGCCCACGCGATCTCAACCGTACATGAAGAGTAACAGGCACCTGCTAAGAGCAGGAGAGATGGTCCTTGTCAGGCAAGAGCATACCGATTGATTGTCTAGTGCCAAATGGTCAGCTCTTAAAATGCACATACACATAACACTATATAGACTGAGCAGGCAATATCTAGAGGGATTGATAATGTGTATACATATAAATATGCATAGAACAATAATTAATGGAGATGGGGTCACAAATTTGAAAGTCTGTAGGACTGGGTATGTAGAGGATTTGGAGGGAGGAAAAGGAAGGAGGAAATGATGTGATTATATTATAACCTCAAAAAATAAAATGAAACAGTCAGGAATAAAGATTTACAAAAGAGGGGCTGGAGAGATGGCTCAGTGGTTAAGAGCATTGCCTGCTCTTCCAAAGGTCCTGAGTTCAATTCCCAGCAACCACATGGTGCTTCACAACCATCTGAAATGAGATCTGATGCCCTCTTCTAGCCTGCAGGCAGACACACAGACAGAATATTGTATAAATAATAAATAAATAAATAAATATTTTTTAAAAAGATTTACAAAGGAAAGGAACATTGAAGAGTGATTGTTTTGTGTGACGATAGTGTTAATTTTCATTTTCGCTCATTTGTCCTTTCTGCCATAGACAGAACTTTGCTTCTGTTGTCTATTCTGAGACAGATTAAAGGAAAAGAATTTTGAGGGCACATAAGCATATTCATGTAGAGTGTTTTTAGAACCACGCCTGATCTTTGTAGGCACTGTAGGAGTCATGGCTCCCAAAGCTACTGAGAAAAGGGAAGCCCACTCATCCTGCCAGGTGTTGTGCTCCAGACTTGTGTACCTGGTCTGGCAAGTCACCATGGGCAAATCCACGAAGACAGGATAGACATCGCAGGGGATCCTCGGCAAGGCTGGGACTGCCAAGTTCACCAGGTCTATTTCCAGCTGAGAGCCATTGTTGGGGTAAAGAATGCTGCTCTCCACATCTAACACAAGAAGACATCTGGCTGAGGAGACATACATGGCAATGCAAACATTGGCCACAGGAGGGCAATGTAAGACATTGTGTTGGCCTGAGAATACCATCAATACTCATTTCCAAAGGCCGTTAATGTTGTTTTATAAAAGTTCTCTTACTTATGAACCTATCATTTTCTTTCTCCCTTCACATCTTCCTACCCTCTAGGAAGCAGTTTTCCAACCTTCCAGGCTGCTTTGTGCCATGGGTATGGTTTAGGGGCTCCTAACATGGAATCCTGTATAAGGGCAACAGCCAAGATAGTGCTTAGCATCCCTGCCAAAACAGCTCACCATCATCCCAAGCATCCCACCACGAGGACACTGATTCAGTAGTGACCTCTGAAATGACACTGGCCAGTTAGCATCTGCAAAGATAGAGTTGGGGCAATCAGTTCATCCTGCTCAGACCCTTTTTTAGCACTGTTCTTAGTCCAGGAGGCAAGGATTCACACTTCTTTGAACTTTGGATCTATAAACCCAACACTCACATTTAGAGAAGCCCAAACCTACCATTCAAAATAACTGTGATCCATGTTCCCCCTGCAAGGCTACCTTCCGCAGGCTCAATCTGGACACTCAGGTAAGGGTCTGTCAAGAAAAGAAAATATTGGTTTTGAAGGCTGTGTATGATACACTAGCACCCCCAATATCTTCAAGCAGACTTTAGCATGTATGTATCAATCAAGGGTGGGATGAAGAATCGATCTCCAGGCCCTATTACCAGAGTTTCTGGTTCAGGATGTGCACTTGCATTCAGGCATTGATGGCCTAGGAAACATTCCTTTAGAGTCCTGCTTTAAGAAAAATTTATCACTCTGATTTGAGCAGTCCAGAACCCCAGCGTTCATCAGGACAATTCTGAATTTCTGCTTCCCTTAGAAACAGTCTCAGAGACACGCTTGGTTCTTACGTGAACTCCCTCTGCTTCTCTTCCCTATTCTCTGTGCAGATGGTCACAGTTACATATAAAGTTCACTACTTTTATTCCTACTTCCTTGCAAGAGGAAAACCTTCTTGGAGATGTGCCTGCTTCCTTTCTCCTTTTTGCCACCCTGTCCTCTGGTTTGCCATCTGGAGCCCAATGGACCACATAGTTAGAATGACTTCCCAGATGCACCAAGACTTCCATGACTTTTCCTTGGATGATCATTGAGGGACTAAAGTGAGAGCATTGCAGAACTTCCTTTAAAATAAAAAGGGAAAGGAGTATGGGCTTGAAATGCTAGACTAAGCTGGGCTTAATAACACCTTTGAGGATATTCATAGACTTGTCATGGTCAAGGCAAAGCCACTTTAAGGAGGCTAGCAAAAACCACTGGGCATCTCCAAAGGGTAATAGGCAAACAAAGAGTTGTGTGTTATCTATGGAAAACTGCTTCATTTCCATACCAGAAAATTTCAAGCATAAGCCAGACCTTGCCTGTGGACTAGCCCAGGCAACCATTTGGTAGCTCATTACATACCTAAGAATTGCAGTAACATATTGTCATGACAACCCAAGCATATCACACCATCCTTAGACCCCCAAAGATGATTAAATAATTAATTTTATTCAAAGAAGACAAAAAATATAATAAGATACAGAGGATTACCAAACTCACTGAGATGTTGAAGGCATGATTAGGAAAAGGTGATTTTAATACAAGCAGCCATTAATCACTAAGACACAATTCCTTAGGGAATAAATAACAATAAAATCTAATAAAAATTATATCTACTAGTTCAAAAATAGATTATAGAAGAAGTCATGTTATCGTTAAAATATGTGAATTGTAACAGCCACCCCTACTGGCCCCTAAAAGCTGAAATATCTACGCATAACAATTTAACAAATAACCCCAGATACTCATCAGAGGAAAAAAATATTTCAGATCCAGAAGCAAATACTTCAATTCTTCCTTCTCAATTGATGTCTTAACTCACATTTTAAGTGGACAAATAAAAACTGTATCTACCTACAGGATATAAGCAAGGCAATACTTTCCTATTAATAGAGTTCTCAAGGCGACCTAGTGGTCTGATGTGCGAGCTGTTCACACGCTTTCCACTTACCTGCTAGAAGCAGGACTTCCATACTCAGCAAAGTGATCAGCCGGGCAGGCATGACGTCGAACTAGCTCAGCGCTCTTGAGATGGCTCCAATATTAAAAGCATTTTTCATGTTGATTGATGGAATGTGACTTTTGTGCCTTATTAAGTGTAAAGTAAAAAAAATAATAATAATAATGCCTATATACCATTAATGAGCTATATTGAAACAGAAAACTAAAAGATGGGACAGATGTAGTGCCAGCCCAACAAGTGTAGCTCTCACCCATCCAAGAAACTTCTTTTCACCTCAGATGGAGACCATTACAGAAAGCCACAGCGGTCAGAGTGAAGCAAACTCCTGACTGTGGGGTGCACAGCCCACACTGATGCTTCTACAACACAACCACTACACCTAACCCTCGGAGAACAGGGAGAAGGGGGAAAGAAAGATTGTGAGAGCCAGAAGACCAGGAAGTCTGCTCCAAGATGGCATCTGGTAACTATGACAGGAAGGTTACACTCATGAAATTTCCACAATATGGCTGAGTAAGTAAGTCATGAATAATGACAACACCAGTTGACATGCCAGCATGGGCAGGGGAAATCACATAGGGCCCCACCCCTAAATGAAGAGCTACACTCAATTAAAAACTGCTGGGCTCATCACCTTGCATTTAACATACTTATTCACACACACACACACACACACACATATATAACAATAGTTAAGGAATAAGGGGCTGTAAATTTAAAAGAGGGTGTGAGGGGTTAAAGAGAGTCGGGTGATGTAATTATATTTAAAAATAAAAAGGAAGGAAAGAAGAACAGAGGGCTCATGTTTGGAGGCACCCACCATCTTCCTAAGCTCAAGAGAGAGCGAACACATAGGAAAATCATCACTCAGCCCATCTTGTTTCAATAGCTTATTTAATCTATGTTTAAATCAGGTGAAGAATAGTGACATCATTCATTATTTCACCAGTGTGCAAAATATGAATCCTAGAAATAGTTTCTAGTTGTCAGATGACGAGTGACTAGACAGAGGTACCTATAATTTTCTTGCACCCCAGCTTCCCAGCTGCCTCTCCCATGACTGTAAGATTTGAACACTGTGTGATAGCCACAATGTATTCTTCTTAGCAACCAGGAAAGCCTTCCATGTGCTGGCCTCTGCTCTGGCAAACAACCCTCTGTGGCTTTATGAGCCCCTGGCCTCATTCTCCAGCAAATCTTTCCTCAGGAGCTCTTCTCAAACCTCCAGTTCACATCTTGTGAGAGCCGGAGCCGGATACTGTGTACTGCCATGCATGCCTTGCCTCTAGAGGGCACCGTGAAGAAACTCAGAGACCAGCCACCCATTCCCATATGGTTTCAGTGTGAGGGCTGCATTTAGTATTCAAAGATCTTTAATTCATTCGTCCATTTTTATATACCGCACCTCTGATTTTACAGATCTGAAAGGTGTGACTTTTTCTCCATGACAAAGAAAACGGAACCCACACAGACTGGCTGAGGCCTTAGCAGATGCTCTAGGAAGATGGTGAGCTATTCTCCGGCCCCAGTCAGAAGTGAACAGACAAATATTCCTAAAACACTGGCTCTGAGGTTCTCAGAAAGTCTGAAAACTAAAAAGAGTAAATCCATGCTATTACATATACATTATGTAAATTTCTAAGAAAACCCCTTGATATGGTAGTAGTTACACCATTTCAGAAAGCACAGAACGTCCAAATAGTCCCAGAACAAGAATGCCTTCCCCGCCCCAAAATGCATTGAATTTATCATCCAGGTACATAGTGATTAAACTAACTCAAAATAAAAAAATAACATTTAGTTCAGCAGTGGGAAGGTTTACTTCATACCCAGGAAATGCTGACCACCATACTGGAAGCTAGGAACATTAAGAGTCTATTCTATGTACCTGTCCTTAGTCATGGCATCTTTTCAGGTATGAAAGGAGGGCTGAAATTACCAAGTGTTCTTGTACACTGCAAATTTCTTACACTCTTCAGTCTATTTGTAACCTGTAGCAGTCTATTTGTAACCTGTAGTTGAATTGCAAGCATCCAGCTCTCCGTGATAAATACCACAAAAAAAAAAATGATGATAAGAACTTGCTACCCAGCCCAAAGGCACAGGATCTTGCTTACAGGGTCTGACAGCATGCGGTCCAATCCGGGCTCATTATTATAGCACACAACATCTTAATGCCTAGTGCAAATCTTAGGAGAGTGGAAATAAACATGCCCGCACTGGGCTTCGCTAAATACTTATTTAACTCTGAAAACAAAACAGTCATATCCACAGCAAGTGTCACTTCCCTGGATGTGGATTCATCAGTCCCCTTGTCCTTCCTAAGGATAAACTTGCTGTCTCTCTATCTCATCTAGGTGGAATGTTTCAATCACAGAACGAGCACTGTACATCCTGTCCTCCTCCTGCTCCTGGTTCTTTCTCTTTGTCTCCTCCTTTCCCTCATCCCTCCTCTCTCAGCTCTCCCTCCTGTGGGAGCCTGAAAGACAAAGTTTTCAAGCTCTTACCGTAGTAGACCTCCCACTTCCTTTTGCCTACTGCAATGACGGCAGGAGATGCAGAGTTAGAAAACAAAGGATGTTCTGAATCAAACCGTACCTGGTTCTGTGCCTGTCTTGTCATTCAAAGGTGAAATCTTTCCTTTGTAAATGATGCCGTGTTATCTGGTTACAGCCCAGCCGGCAGCTACCATGCAGGCAGCTCCCTCACGTTGGACTATAACTCACCCAACCTGTTTCTGTCCTGGCCAAATGGGCACCAGAGTAAAAGTTCACAAATGACCACAGGGCAAGTTTAATTATTAACGTGAACTACTTAGAGACCCACAGAAGGGCCTTTTTACATTTTCCTCTGATTACTGTATGTGTCTCAGACAAGAATTTCAAATAAAAGACCACCCAATGATTGAAAGAATGTGCCAGGAAGACAGCCAGTGAGCCGAGAGCCCAGAGGGAACATCCGAGGAGGAAGGTATGCTCCATGAGGGGTCCGTAGCTATTTCCATGCACTGCACTGTGGACTCTCAGTAATGTATTCACCAGAAGGGCATGGGCCTAAAGATGTGGAGGAACAGAGTGCTTAGCTAGCCCAGTTTAGCTTTGTACTTTCTGTTCTTCTTCCTACCCTGCTTTCTTAACGAGAAGTCTTTGATTCCCACCCTCATTACCCAATGATATTACAAAATGAGTTTGGGCAGCTTGTTATCACTTGATGAAAAATCCGAGAGCCAGCAGACAAGAAGTCAACATCAATTTTATACTTACTGAACATTTGACTTATCTATCCATGCCCCTACTCAGGGAAAACTTGGCAGCCTTTTCCCTGCCTGGAAGAATACAAATATACCTAAAGAAGATACTTCACCAAGATTGAGTTTAATCCAGAGATTATATTACATCCTGGCAAAGGCTAGAGAGATAGGTGTCTCAGAGGTTAAGAGCACTGGCTTCTCTTCCAGAGAGTCTGAGTTCAATGCTCAGCAACCACATGGTGGCTCAGAACCATCTGTAATGAAATCTGGGGCCCTTTGCTGGCATGCAGACAGAACACTGTATACATAATAAAAAATAAATCTTTAAAAATATATATCATATTAAATTAAACAAGAGCCCTACAGCTATCCCTGGAAGGAAGAACCCATTGCATTTCTGCCAAGTACCACAATATGGCATCTACTGGAAAGCCAATGGATCTGGCAGAGCTGCAGCTAGTAAGGTAGAAAGAAGACCAGGTGGAGGAGGCTATATATAGATGTGAAAAAGGAAAATTAGCAGGAAAGACGAGACACCTGATGGATATCAATAACTTTGACATTCTTATGCTTGACTTCTTCCTTCTGGACCAACAAATCTACGCACTTCCATCTCATACCTAGGAGGGTGGTCTGCATGGCTCTCCCACTGTACTTGATGTCTTACTGGTTTCACAAATAGGGCACATCCAGGAGTTCAAAGGTGATCTGTTTCTTTCTAGGACTCTACTGTTCTATAGACTCAAAGTGATAACTAGGCTTCCGTATTGGCAATATATAGTCAACAAAACTTGAATGTAACTTGGTAAATGAGCACTGGATAGGCTGGTGCTGCCCAATAGTATTTAACTTATATACGCCATTCCCAAACTGTGTGTATGTAATTCAAGGAAAATTAGTTTTTATCTCTCTGCAAACCAAAACAGATTGCAGTATGCCTTATAGAGAGTGGATTCGCCCCCATAAAATGAAATTTTATTTATTAAATTAGGAATGTATTTGAAGAAAAACACTTGAGTAGATTTGGGTGGGTAATGGGAGCAAAAATTTGAAAACTAAGGATGCTCAATGTCATTTTGGTTTGGGCTTTTCTCCTCTTTACTTTTTTTTTAAAAAAAATGTATTAATTGTCTTCAACTTATATACATATTTCCAGTAGAAAGAGGGTATATCATCAAGTGAGCAGCACACTAGCATGACTTTCCACTGAAGAACTTCATTAGGCAACAGGAGCCCCAGAGCAAATTCTTCTCATCCTCCAAGGTCACCTCTTGTGAGAGAGTTTACACAGCTTCACCTCATACTGTGTTGTCAGAATCCGCCCGAAAACAAAGCCTACCCTTTCCTTTCTGTGAGATTGACTCAGTTTGTCTGCCTTCCTGTTCTTCAATCCGCTCTTCTTCATTAAGAACAAAATAAAGTCAATCAAATCCCCCTGAGTTTATTCTCACATTATCACCATGTGCTCAGATTTGAAACAACATGACTCTGCTTCACCAAAGGTCCAACCTATGGGTAAAATACCAGTGTTGGGCTTTCTTTAACAAACTTTCTTTCCCATCAAATAAAACTACTCAAAGATATCTTGTTCTTATTGCTTCTGTCCTAATCCTTTTTGTCAATTGGCCTATTGTACAAACAGGAAGGCTGCTTACCCAGAAGATGTACTGTGCTGATCTATAACTTTCTAATGAGAGTTACAGCATCTAACAAGTCCATGGTGTAATCAGAGACTGTTCATTCATTGCCTGCCATCCAGATTTGAAATAACCACACATAAACTTAATTAAATCACTGCTTGGCCTATTAGCTCTAGCTTCTTATTGGCTCTCTTACATCTTAAATTAATCTATTTCCATTATTTTATATTTTACCACAAGGCTCTTGGTTTACCAGCAAGGTTCCAGAGCATCTGTGTCCTACAGCGGCTCCATGGCATCTCACTGATTCTGCCTTCTTTCTCCAAAAATTCAGTTTAGTTTTCCTGCCTAGCTCTACTCTGCCCTCTTACAGGTCAAAGTAACTTCTTTAATAACCAATGGTATTCACAGAGGGGAAACCCACATCACCTCCCCTTTTCTGTCTAAATAAAAGGAAGGTTTTAACTTTAACATAGTAAAATTGCATATAACAAAACAGTTATTAAGCAAGAATTACAGTTATAATATTTATATCTACTTTACCTTTTATCATAACTAAGGAAAACTATAACTATTTATTCTTAAACTCTATCAAAGACTCCAGAAAAATATAATATTACCTAAGTACACAAGAAGTGCATTGTAAGCAACTTACTAAACTCTAGAATTGACAGAGACATCTTGCTGCCTTGACAGTCATCCAAAGTTCATCTATACATTGGAGCATCCATCTTCAGCCTACAGGCCCATAGTATCCAGTAGACTTTCCCATGAAGCAGGAAATTGCAAAGACATTTCCACCTATATTGGCAATTTGTTCATTACTTTCTTCTGTGTCCTTCAGAATATCTTGCAGACTCTTTCATGAAGCAGGAACCCTGAAGGACTGTCTTACCTTTAGGCAAGTTCAGCAGTCATATTTCTGTAGGACTTGCATGGCCAGTTCATAATCATTACATGAAGCAGTTCAAGTAAGAGCAGTTTCTGGCCCAGATGGCTAGCAAACTCCATAAGGAGCCTCATCGATGTCCATCTTCCTCTTGAAGTAGATTGTTGTTGCCAGGAGCAGAAGTGTCTCAATGTCATGAAAAGTCTAAGTTCTTAAAACATTTTAAATGCCATATTTTGTAGTCTTTGAAAGATCTGAAGAATACCTACCCATCTAAAATATATCTTTGTGCATCTAGAAAACCTAATTAACATGACTACAAGTTTGACTATTATAGATGAATATACATTTATCTATATTTCTTAATTATACATTTTTAAGTGAGCTGCACAAACACAATACCTTAATTAAGAGCAAAAATATACATATAACAAAATTGACCTTAAATAATACCAATAGACCAAGATCCATACCAACATAAATCTTTATAGTATATCCCCATTTAAATGAAAGCAAGCATTGATAAACAATATTTGGAAATTTTGGGCATAGCTTTCTCTAAACTGATTCCTGCCTTTTTGTTGGGTGAAGTATTTGGATGGGGGGGGGTTCATGGAGACCTTTTGGAATGTCTTGGTCCTTCAAGCCACATTAGTCTGGAAGAGATCCACAGGCTCTCATCCTCTGTGGAAACCCCTTTCCAAAGCAGCAAATCCTCAGGCCCAAATTTTGAAGTCAAGATACTTTTAAAATATATAGATTGGTTCAACTTAGCAGCCCATACAATGAAATGTCTCTCTGTACTTCGCATGCTCACAGTCAAAAATTATAAAGAAAACGTAATAGTATACATAATCCAGACTCTCTGTGTATACTCCATTTCACATGACTTATTTTTCTTACTCTATTACTTTTTCTATAAGTTTAATGCTTATTTTATTATCTTCACTCCTTTAACCTATGACTGTCTATACTCTTATATTATAACTGTCTATATACTCTTTTTTCTCTCTCTCAAGCCTACATACATTTATTTAACACCGTGACCCATTTAGAGGTCTTTTTTATCTGAATCTTTCTTTATTGTGTATTTGTAATCATTTTTTGACCAGGGGTGCTTTTTTCTTTTAAATGCTAAGTGGGCTTGACTAGGACCAACACCAGAGTCCTGACTGCTTGCTCTACCCAGTTTAACATGTTGGTAAGCATGCTCGCTGCCTCTGAGAGTCATTCTCTCCACCCAAGATCCCGGGTCACTGTGGGTTTGTGTCACCATTAAGCAATTTATAACACACTGCTTACAACCCCATTAAAGTGCTTGGCCTCCTAAAAGAGCCAGAATTCGTGCTGGCAGCATAAACCAGGAAGCCGCCGTTCTGAAACCACACGGATTCTTTGCTGATATGGTCTTGTATTGGTTTAATAAAAATGCTGATTGTCCAATAGCCAGACAGGAAGTATAGGTGGGGTGATCAGAATGGGATAATTCTGGAAAGAGGAAAGGTTCAGTCCATAGTCATTATGCAGACAGCAGAGGAAGCAAGATGAGAATGCCTCACTAATAAAGGTACCAAGCCACATGGCTAGCACAGACAAGAATTACGGGTTAATGTAAGATGTAAAAGTTAATTAACAAAAAGTCTGAGCTAATCAGTTTTTAATTAATGTAGGCCTCTGTGTGTTTCTTTGGGACTGAATGGCTGTGGAACCAGGTGGGACAGAAACCTCTGTCAACACCATGGGTTATCAAAGATGAAACTAGCTCATAAAGCCTGGGAATCTTGGAGATGCAGTCAGCTGTCCAGTTGTTCTACACACTGATGTCTGGAAACGTACGATGCTCTCTACTGCAGTCATTCTGAGGACATCACCAGCCTATGGAACTGCACAGAGCAAGTTCACACTGATGACAAAGAGTTGTCAGAAAACCATGACACCAAGCAAATCGCATGGGTTCGGGGGTTTTCTCAATACATAGGAGTCACAGTTTTGAAACAGAAAAAGTTCCACATTAACTAGCATGGCTGATCCACTGAAATCTAAAAATTTAAAAATAAACATTAAGAGACTTGAAGCAATGAATATAGATATACGGTATTTTTAGAAGGATCTTATTCCAGGAGAAAAATAACACTTTCTGTAACTTGGCACTCAGAATAGCTGGATGTTGGTTGTTCTCCCAGTTTGATTCCTGCTTTGTCAGACTAGACACATGTTACAATAGTTGGTGCTTCCTAAATCAGAGAGACTATGTTCTTTGAATTTGGAGCATCTGTAAGGGATGTGAGCAGAGCATCACATCATCACAGGTCACTTTCTGAATTACAGTGCAGTTCCTTCTTCCTGCTTCAGCAGAATTTAAAATAAACCACACCATCAGGGAGCAATACCACCAAAGCAATTAATTTCTTTCTGGTTAGTACCTTGTTACTGAGGTCCAGAAGCCCAACTGAGATTTCAGAAATGTCTCCCACACTTGGTTTTGAAATGGTGAGTACACATTTCTGTAGCCCAGTGGAACACTTGCTATATTGTCAACTTTTTACATCTTAAACAAATGTTCAAAGTGGAAGAAATTATTTTACCCTTTCTGTAACATGTTGAACAGTTAAAATAGCATAGTGGTCGATACCACATGAACAATACAAGTGAGGATAATCCATGAGAATAATGGAGATATCAAGTAACCAGTCAGATCATTCAGGAGGCAATTATCAATTAGCATTACAAACTATTCAGATATCTGATTTGAGAAGGTAAGTAGCATGGTAGGTTTTTAGAAGCTAGCCATAAATTCTTTGTCAATTCTATCTTTAAATATAGTCTCTATCATTTCTCACCTTATGGATCTGAATAGATCTTTGACTCACTCACTTAACACCAGAAGGCAGCAGCAATCCCACATTTGACTACTATAAATACAAGACAAGCATGTGTCAGATACTCACAATTTTTCCAGTCCTGGGGGTTGAACTTGGGACTTCAAACATATTAACCAAGTTCTTTGACACTAAGCTTATCCCCATCCCCCTTTTTGACTTTTATGTGGGAACAAAAATCTTCCTAAGTTCCTGAAGCTGACCTTAAATGCCCTTCTGTTGTCTAGGCTGGTCCTGAAGCTTACCTGCCTAGGCCTCCTGAGTTGATGGATTACAGGCCTGTACTTCTAAGCCTGGCTTTAGAAATTCAGCATCTCAAAACATTTCAGTTTCTGCTCTCCCACCACTGTCAAACCATGTTGCACATCTCTGAGGGTTAGTTGAGTAAAACTGAATAGACTCCAGCAGTTGAAGGCAGTTTCCATGTTATTCATAGAAGTTCAATGTAGCAGAAACTCAGGAGACATTTGTTGAATGCCTGAGTGCATGTTACCAGGAATACTTACGACAGACGTCTGCTGTGAATACATAAAATTACTAATTTTACTGAGCTCTCTGTTTACTTTTTCATTATTTCACTTACTCATCAGAAAGCTCTACTTTGCTTATTTGGACTCATGGTTTAAGGGTCACATCCATTTTTACGGGTAATTAACAGTGGAAAGAGGATGAGACTGTCCATATTACATTCACAATTGGAAAGCAGGGATTGTCTTAGTCAGGATTTCTATTGCTGTGTAGAGACACCATGACCACAGCAACTCTTATAAAGAAAAACATTTTATTGGGGCTGGCTTACAGTTGCAGATGGTTAGTCCATTATCATGGTGGGAACCATGGCAGTGTGCAGGCAGACATAGTGCTGGAGAAGGAGCTGAGAGTTCTACATCTTGATCAGGCAACAGGAAGTGAACTGTCTCACTGGGAGTAGCTTGAGCATAGGAGACGTGAAAGCCCATTCCCAAAGTGACACACTTCCTCCAATGCATCTACTCCAACAAGATCACACCTCCTAATATGGCCACTCCCTGTGTGACAAACACTCAAACACCTGAGTATATGGAGGCCATACATATTTAAACCACCACAGAGGTGAATTCTGGTGCTCAACTCAGTTTCTTCTCCTTCACCCAGGACCCTGGTTCATGAAATAGTGTCACCCACATTTTGTGGAAAGTCTTTCAACCTCAATTAAGTGATCTTAGAAACTTCCTCACAGGTATACTCAGAGCTTTGTTCCCTCAGTGATTCTGGATTCAGTGAAGTTGGCAACCCATAATATTCATCCCAGTGGATATCCAAGAAATAGTGAACACTTCTGTGAGAAGCACTGGAACCTAGGTGGCACAGGTCACCTTACGTGATGCATTTTAGCCACATCACAGAAATAGTCTTCTTCCATGTAGGTTTGGGAAGGCTGTGCATGTTTTTACATCACTCAATGATAATAAAAGACACTAAGAGATAACTGACGGCTATAGAGTAATAGAGGGAGAAAATGTACATAGAAATGAAAGTTCTGGTAATGATCTCGGAGAAGGAAAGAGTAGATAAATGGTAATGACTACATTTGCCCTAATACTACTAACAGTGACTCCAATTCTAGCAGCAGCCAGAGCTCAAAGGAGACAGAACAATTCTGATATGAATATCTCATATAGATAAAGAGAATTTGACTAGTGATATAATGTGATTTAAGGAAACAGCAAAGGTGAGTGAGGTCCTAGTTTGAGCAGTTATAAAAATGGAAGTGGTAAATGAAGGAAGTCACGGGATGGGGATGTTGGCACGTAGTTTATATCCCATTGCTAGACTATTGCACCCATCCATCACTTGCTGTGCTTCCTTTATGGTTGAGCCTTTCCCTGGAGAATGATCCTCAAGCTGTGGGGACCACCTTGCCCCAGAATTCCTACAAGATTATCTACCTCCCTCAACTGCTCAGGTTCATTAACTAACTAACGCAGAATGTGAGCGGCCAGGCCCCTCTCCTCAGGGATGCCTCCAGCATCCCTCCACCCTGGAGCTCCCTGGGGATCAGACTGAAGCTAGATATTCACTTGCCTCCATTTCCTGCTCAGAAGCTTTGCAAGTTATCACCTGGGTCTACTTGTTCTTAATAAATGCCTTGCCCAAAAATGTCTGACACAGAGCTCCGTCTCAGAGCTCAGAAAACTAGCCTACAACAAGGAGCAAGATAGCTAGGGGAAAGAGATGGCTTTGAGGCAATCATGATTTCACCATGAACTGTCTCCAGAAACACTAGAATTTATTTTTAATGTGGAATCAAATATCAGATAAACATGACTTCGCATCTACAACTTCCTCATCTTGTAGTCTTAAGTACACTTTAGTATGAGTGGGTCACAGGTGTGCCTCTACGTCTTGCCATCTTCAATACTGTTTCTAGATGACACCTGAAGCAGCTGGAGACCGAGGTCAGTTACCTTCACCTTGAACAACTCTGTCATCAAGTTCATATATCTTCAACATTCAGGGGCACGCTGCTTCAACTCTCTGAAGCTCTGGTTTCCATATGCAAAGTTTTACTCCGTCTTCTTCAGCTCTAGCCATGAGATAGGAGCACAGGGGCAAACCTAGAATAAGAAGCTGAGAGTAAGCCCAATCAGTGGCAGTTGGTGTCATTAATGCTGTCCCCTGGGAAGACTCCTGGCATTACCTCTACTTAGGCAAAAACCTAAACTGATGTAGGCTATTGGACTCTGATCCAAACTCTCCCTTTTTTTTTTCTTCCTCCTTGTTAAAGGGAAGCAAGAAAGAGTCTGCCAGGTTGCAGCTCTGATTGTTCTTTGGAGCCTCATGCAGGTTTTGCACCAACTTGAAGGTAAGAGGAGAAGATGGCAGGTTGAGGAAGAAAGATGAAACCAAGACCTTTCCCTAACATGGTCCTGCACTTGTGCTGTTCCCATAAATGAGCCATGCCCTTCATCTCAGCACTTTGATGGCATTGGGCATGCCTTATTTATAGACAACAACTGGTACAGAACTTCAAAGGGGCGCAGAGCCAAGGCTGAGATGTGAAGGGAACACTTTGAAGTGCTAAATTCTCAATTCAGGACAGCCCACAACAGCTCTGGAAACCCAACTGTAAACCATGCCAAGAATGTCCACTTGTCCCCACAGTGTGGTAGATGGTCAGAACCCTTTATGTCCACCCTAGAAGTGCAGCTGTCAGCCAACGCAGGTGACTCTGTGGGCTTTACTTGGCTTTCTGTTATACTGAGACAATTTTTCAGATTAACCAAGAAAATCCATGGCCATCAGATACAGGAGTCCAGAAAAGGAACACTTAATTTTATTTCATATAGAAACACACACACACACACACACACACACACACACACCCCAAAAAAAAACCCAGAATAGCTAAAAAAAAACAATCCTGAATAATAAAAGAACTGCTAGAGTATCACCAAGTATCCCTGATTTCAAATTGTACTACAGAGCTATAGTAATGAAAACAGCAAGGTATTAACACAAAACAGACATATTAATCAGTGGAATTAAATTAAATTGAAGACCCATACATAAACCTACACAACTATAGACTCTTGATTTTTGATAAAGAAGCCAGAAATATACACTGGAAAGAAGAATCTTCAATAAATGGTGTTGGTCAGACTGAATGACTGCATGTAGAAGAATGCAAATAGATCCATACCCATCACTCTGCACAAAACTCAAATACAAATGCATCAAAGACCTCCAAATAAGCCCAGATACACTGAACCTGATAGAAGAAATATAGGGTATAACCTTGAAGTCATGGACACAAGAAAGGATTTTTTAAACATACCACTATTAGCACAGGCACTAAAATCAACATTTAATAAATGGAACCTCATGAAACTGAGAAGCTTCTGCACAACAAAGTCAGTCAGACAAAGCAGAGGCCTACAGAATGGGACAAGACTTTTTTTTTAACCAACTATGTATCTTATAGAGGACTAATATCCAAAATATATTAGGAATTCAAAAATTAGATATCAAGGAATCAAACTAATTTAAAAATTGGGTTATAGATTTAATCAGAGAATTCTCAAAAAAGTAAACTCAAAATGACTGAGAAAATTTCAACATCTTTAGTCATCAGGTAAATTCAAATCAAAGCTACTTTGGGATTTAATCATACACCCATCAGAATGACTAAGTTCAAAAAAAAACAATTGACAGCTCATTCTGACAAGGATGTGGAGTAAGGGAAATACTGATCCTTTTCTGGTGGGAGTATAAACTTGTACAACCACTACGCAAATCAGTGTGGCAGTTCCTCAGGAAGATGGGACTCAATCTACCTCAAGTTCCAGCTATGCCACTGTTGAAAATATACCCAAAAGACACTCCATTCTTCTACAGAGACACTCACTCAACCATATTAAACTGTTCTATTCATAACAAACAAAAATTGGAAACAACCTAAGTGCCCCTCAACAGATGTATAGATAAAGAAAATGTGGCACACTTAAGCAATGGAGTATTACTCAGCTTTTTTTTTTTAAAAAAAATGACATTATGAAAATTACAGGTAAGTGAACTAGAAAAAAATCATCTTGAGTGAGGTAACCCAGATCCAGAAAGAAAATATGGTATGTATTCACTTACATGTGAATATTAACTATTAAGTCAATGACAACCAAGCTACAAACCAGAGAACCACAGAGGTTAGGCACAGAGTAATGAACTGGAGGAGATGATTCAGATAGATCTCATTAGCAAAGAGAAATAGAATTGATAGTTATAGGTTGGTGGTGGGAGGGCCTGGAATTGGAGGTCCAAGTGAAAAGAGGAAGGGAAGAGGGGGATTAAAATATATGGGGAGAGACAGCTAAAATTAAGGGTCATTTGAGGGGTAATATGAAAACCTAATATAATGGAAGCTTCCTAAAATATATACATATATGAAAGGCAATCTAAATGAAGTAATCAAATAATGGGAGATACACAGACCCAACTGGACATCTCTTGACACCTAATGAATCTTTCAACATGGGGATTGGATTAAATCTTATAGAGCTGATGCGGGAGAATTGTCTGTATTCTGTCAATCATATTTTAATAAAACGCTGATTGGCCAGGCAGGCAGTATAGGCGGGAAAACCAGACAGGAAGTAGAGGTGATGCAATGAGAACAGGAGAATTCTGGGAAGCAGGGAGGTTCCTCTGCCATTCCTGCGCAGACCACCAAAGAGGCAACATGTAAGCTGTCACACTGAGAAAGGTACTGAGCCCATGTGGCTAACATAGATAAGGATAATGGGGTAATATATGTTATAAGAGTTAACAAGAAGCCTGACCTAATGAGCCAATCAGTTTATAACCTTATGGAGTCCTGTGTGTGATTTCTCTTTGGGATTTGCCAGCTGTGGGGTACCAGGCAGGACGGAAACCCCAACAAGCCAGCCCCCTCGCGCTACATAGAGCTATTGGCCAAACATCCCATGGTAACTCCAAACAACCAAGACTGTTGCTAATACTATATATAGGTTGACCTCCAAAAAAAAAAAATGACAGCCAGGCCTCATTGCTGAAGACAATGCCCCCATAAGTCATTGAATGTAGAGAAGTCAAGCGATGCCTACAATGAGCCTTCACCCCTACGTGCTAATGTCTTTAGTATAGGAAGGAGATCTGCAATGCTACCAAAGGAGAAATGTAAACACAACCCAACTACAAATCCTTTGGTCTACAATGGTGTCCTGCTTGAAAGATAGCTAATGCAATGTTGGCACAAACTTATGGGAGTAATCAACCAATATCTAATGTGTTGTAAGATCTACTCCAAGAGATGGAATCCATACCTAACACTGCTTTGTTGTTCAAGAACCTGAGATTAGAAAGCTCAAGGACCTGGAGTAAAATCAAATACTATTGTTCTAGAAGGGGTGGTGAAAAGTAGTAATAAAATGGTTCCTAATGACATATTTGCTATACTCGTAGATTAATTCCTTTCTCAGTCACCAGCAGAGAACCTTCCCCCTGCAACAGATGGAAGCAAATACAGAGACCCTTAACCAGACATTAGGCAGAAAAAGAAAGACTTTGAAATACTCAGCCTTGACAGGATGTTTCCCTCAAATACCTCTTCTCGGGCTTCAGAGAACTCACAAAAGAAAAGGCAGAAAGCTTAGGAGAGCTGGAGGTAGTGGAGGACACCAAGGAAACAAGGCCGTCTAGATAAAAATGATCAACACACATATGGACTCATAGAGACCGAGGCAGCAGGCAAAGGCCCTGCATTGGTCTGCACCAGATAGGTTCCTAGAGCTGAAAGAAGAGGAAACATGCTTCTATTTCTAGTCCAGAAGCAATCTCCAATTGATAACCATTGGCAAGTGAAAATTTGTTTTCTCCAAGGGAGTCTCATTGGAGAAACTACTTTTAAGGGTAAGCTGCATGCCCAGCCGTCGATGGCCAAAAGAAAACAGACTCAATGGCGTCTTTGGAAGTTCCTTGTCTCAGGGCTTTCGCTTTAAAAATAAAAATCTTATTTTTATTTTACCTTTTTTTTTCTTTACTGTACAGGTTCTTTGTGTATGTATTATGGCTTCCAGGTTAGTTTTTATGGGGTTTCTTAGTGTGCAAACTAGGGGATCTCTATTTCTTGTGCCTTCACTTGGTCTTTTTTCCTTTTGTTTGTTCGCTTTGTCCTTTTCCAATGTGTTAGTTTTTGTTTAATCTGTTTAACTTTATTATTATCATCCCTTAGAAGCCTATTTGCTTTCTTTTTCTTTTTTGCCTGTTTGTTTTCTTAGGAGAGACAGAAAGTGGGCAGGTCTGAATGGGAGGGGGGAAAGACCTGAGAGGAGTGGAAGAAGAAACTGGGATTAGGGTATAAAGAATTGTGCAAAGAAACTCTGCTTTCAATACAAGGAAAAAACAAAATTACGTGAAACAAATGAAGGGCAATGCAGAAAGCAGAATCACTGGCCTCCCACCGGATCTCTGACTGTGTTACTTACATGTAGAGGGGACCCTTAAACATCTTAGGATGGGGATGTGATCCTGAAGCATCCATTTGGGCCCAGTATAATCTACATCATAAAAGGGGTGTAGAAAAATCAGGGCCCATGCAAGAAATATGATGGAATCAAAGTCTGATACATTGCAAAAAAAAAAGGGGGGAGAGGGTCAGGGGAGATCACATGTAAAAATTGCAGGTGGAAAGAACAAATAAACAGATGCCCCCTCCACTCTTTCAGGAAGAATAAACCTTTACAACACTTTCATCATAGCCTGGAGAGCAAGGCTTCAGCCTTCCATCCTCAAAATTGTATGAGAGAAAATTCGTGTTATTTTAGCCCCTAGAATTTGCAGTACTTGGTGGCAGCCATCAGGGAAAACTGACAGAGCAAGGAAGGATTGTCATTTAGTATCATTGCACATATGGGTTGAGGTCATGTGTGTTTGTGCTCACCTGTAATTACAGCATTGAGAAAGCTGACTCTGGACTCACACAAGTTCAAGGCCATCTTAGACTATATAGCCAGAGCTTGTCTCAAGAAGCAAAGAGGTTTATGTATTTCCCCTTAGAAAGCACTGGTGCACAAGCCCTGCCCTGCACTCCAAGAGTCCTGCTGTGAAGAAAGGGAGAAGGGTCTGTACCAGCCAGTGAGGTCATGATGAAGGAACCCACAGAGACAGCTGACCTGAGTTCACGGAAGCTCATCTACCCTGGTCTGAATGGGATCAACCGAGGTCCTCTGCATGTGTGTGACAATGGTGTAGCTTGGTCTCTTAGTAAGGCTTCTAACAGTGAGCACAGGACCTCTCTGGCACTTAGCTGGTTTTTGGTAACCTGTTTCCCAAGCTGGGTCCCCTGGCCCCGCCTTGACATAAGGGGAGAAGCTAGGTGCTGCCTCGATTTGATGTGCCGTGCTTTATGCAAGCCCATGGGAGACCTGACCCTTTCTGGATGGAGATGAAGGAAGAGTGCATGTGGAGGGGAGTAAATGGGGAAGGGAATGGGACTGGAGAAAAGGAGGAAAGGAGGAAAGGGAAACTGGTTGGTATATAATGAAAAATATATTATTTAAATAAAAACAGCATTGATGCAATAAAACCATGGCTACATGACTCGAGTTACATATTCATGTTTCACCCTCTATCTCGTCCTTCTAGGTTCAAAAGAAAAACCCCACAAATGTTCAAGAAATAGGTTAATTGAGGATAAAATTAAATATATCTCAAAATGTCAATACAGGTTTAATTTCAGTGTGGAAAATAGAGAAATATGGGTTTTATGTACATACTCAAATCAAAGGCGTACACATCACAGTGATAATAGTCACCGAGCCATGAGATTACAGGTGGTTTCATATTCTGAATTGTGTATGCCTTTAGTTTTTCATTATCAAATAAGTATTGCTATATTGCCAAGCAGGTATAAGTGATATTGTGTACAATAACAGCATCATCTTTGATGATTATTTTAAGAAGAGAATATTTGAAGAAATTGCCGAAGTCACTTTCCATGGGTACCGCCATCATACAGAAAATTCACTCAGTTTCAATACTGAATCCTGAACTTAGATCCAGACTCCTATAATAGCACACTAATGAAGGAGCGATAGGCACACAAAGCGTAGCATTTGGCTCCCAACCTTGCCCAAATTAACTTTCCAGCAGTCAACTTTACGTGGTAGCATTTACACTACCTTCATTCACTTTCAGTAGTCCTCAAAAGAACACAGAGGAACTTAATGAGTCAGAATGATAATCCCTCCAAAAGAAACCATGTAAAGCTAAAGGGAAAACCCCAGAGATGTCATGGAGAAATAGTGGGCAGAGACGGGAAAATATCTGGAAGTTCCCAGACCAGCTAACGTGGTGTCTGCGGTTTAGGACCCTAAGAGGGTAAGCGTGAAGGGAAAAGACTGGGATGGAGATACATGATGTGAAAGACACAAGGAATAAATAAAAGAAAGGGAGATGGGGGAGGGGCTCAGCAGTTAAGAACACTGACTGCTCTTCCGGAGAATTGGGGGTTTCAATTCCCAGAGTAGAGTGGAAGAAAGGGAAAGTTTGGGCCTGTTTAACCGAGAACAACATTTACAAGTCATAACCCAAAGTCTGCCCATCAACAAACTTATGCCAATGAAATATTGTCCAAATGACAGACTTAAATAAATCACAGATGTGTTAAAATGGTATTTAGAGAGAATGGAGGAGAATGGAATGGGAAGGGCCATTTCACAGAATTGAACTGCCTTAGTGGTGATGGGCTGTACATGGGGACATGAAGTAGGGAGAGTTGAGAGTCCGGAAAGTTTCTTCACTGTTTGTGGGCTCTTTAGTTAGTTCCTTAAATCTCTTCTTGCCTGACACCTTGGCCAGCAAATTAATGCACCATCACCACAGCGCTTCCCTTATTGGGTGACTTTAACAAAAGGTTTGGCCAATTTTACAAGTCTGCACAGAATGTTCTAGACAGTGGTTTAAGGTAATTAGGAACTAGGCTAGATTTACCTTCTGACCTCTCACCTCGACACAGCCTGCCTTTCCCTCTGCCTTCATCTCTTCTAGGGTTTTGAAAAAGCCTGCAGACAAGGAGTATTTCCCCAGAGTATTCTTTTAAGGAAGGGGAGTTACTTGTAGTCCAGGTTAGCCTGGAACTCACAGCTATCCACCTGCCTCTCACTCCCAAGTGCTGGGATTAAAGGCATGCACCACTCCTCCCTATAGAAATGGCCTACTGTCTCTCTATCCTGCTGTGGATGGGACCCTCTCCAGAATGGACTCCTCTCTGCTGTGCGCATGTGCCAATGGAAAATGACCACGCGAAGGTCACAGTTTGACTTCTGCAGACCCTCAGTTTCTCTGTCTTTCAGACACTAACTCCATCAGACAAAGGTAACCCACCTTTTTTTCCTGAAGGGTTAGACGAGAAAATACTTGTAAACAAACGCTGGGATCTACAAATAAAAGATACATTCAAGTGCAAGAGTTCTGTGTCATCTGACATCTTCCGAAGAGACTACTAGTGCAATCACATAATGCATGATGGGGAAAGCCAGAGGACGGAGCTAGCAAGAAGATCTTAACAGCCTGGAGCACACCCAAGGATAGTAAGAAAGTAAAATATTCTCAAGTTATCGTTTGTTTCATTGACTTAATAAATTAATAAATTGAAATCAATAAAATTTATTCTGAGGGCAAATGAAAGAATTTCCAAAGTGTGCATATGGTCTTGATAATTCCCTCCTGGGAACACTTGAAATGAATGCTAGGAGTATCTGACTCACATACACCTTACCAACCAGCTCTCTAAACGTCTCCTTCCACCCCAAAGCCACATGATCATCATCTCTCTCGGGAGCCTTCTAATCCCCTGCACACATTTGACAGACATCAGCGTGGCTTCTGAAGAGCAGCCCCAGATTCCTGAAATGTGATCCCCAGATCAAGGTCCTGCTGTTCCAGGGGCACAGTTGTTCATAATGGAAAAAGAAATAAAACTGCCCCTGTGTTATTCAGCCTGATTGGCAGTCTCTGCTGAGGAAGGGGGAAAATCTGCAAGGGATTTGGCGGCCCCACCTGCCCCCTCTCCTCCTGAAGGGAGACAGCTGCCTGTCCTCGGTGCATGCCATCCCCTGTCCAAGTATTAAAAGATCTGCCTGCCGTCCCAGGTGCCCTGAGTCAAAGCTGCCTGGAGAAGCCACACAGAAGACCCGAGCATAAGTGAGACATTCATTCAGGCAGACAGCTGTTCCTAAGAAACCCGAGTGGGACCAGAATGAATCATGCTAAGTTGCTGAACCCAACAAATTTGAATTTAAAACAAAACTTAATCGGATAAGCAATCGAGCCACTTTTAAATTAAATATTTTGAATAAAAAGTGAAGAGGAGGAAAGGGGGAGGCATGCTTTCACATTTGTATTTATACACTGATTTTTATGGTAAGCACACCGTTTTTAGCACGGCTTAAGTAGAAAAGAGTGAAAAGAAGCACATACTTTCCTACAACTGACTCCAGATGAGCCAAATATATCAAAGTGCTCATGAACTCATTCCAAGATCTCCCCCAGCTTAAGATCTTTGGAGAGGGCCATCTTCTTTATGTCTTGAGTCTTCAGTACCCTGCTCCCAGGCAGCCCTGGATAGCAGTGGTCCGAGCACGAGTAGGACAGATTCCTGCTGAAGTCCCAAGAGAAACAAAATGTCTCCTCTGAAGCTGGGTGCTGTTGCCATTCCGCATCCTTTCTTCATAGTCAGTTAGTTGAAAGGTCAAACTCTAGGGTAATGTGAAAAGGAAACCAGAAACCAGAACTGATTTTAAAGACAGGACTCTAATTTCTGTAGTCACTGCTCAGGATCCTTGTGGAATACATCCCAGGACCTCCTAAGAGTACCACACTTTTTCATGCTTAATTAAGTCTTTTATATAGAATGATAGTGTTTTTATTTAACCTATAAACATTCTCCTGTATACTTTAAATCATATTTATAATACCTAGTGCATTGCAAATGTCATATAGGCATAATATATAATTTAGAGAATAATGACAAAGAAAAAATATTTGTACACATTTGGTAGAGACACAGCTTTTTCCTAAATATTTTCTACCCAGAGTCGTCAGAAGCTCTGTATGTGGATCTGGTGACGATAAAGTGTTGATTATGAGCAGGGTCACAGGGAAGATCATGAGTGGGACTCACCAGGAAGCAGAGACTGACATTTGGGTTCCTCCTGGAGACACGACATTCAACATAACAAATAAGTCTTCTAAGAGAAAAACAACCTCACTGGAACTCCAAGAGCATTTAGTGAGTTCGGGTCTCACAAGTGCAGCCTGATATGGGTTTTTGTTTATCATCCACTTCCATGGCTTCATGCACTATATATGTGCTGATGACTCAAATATTCTGAGCTCCTGAACCGAATGACCAACTGCCAGCACCGTATTTCCACTCGACTGGCTCTCAGACACCCAAAACTCAGCCAGCACGAAGGCTCTGAGCCCTTGATCTTCAGCCCACAATCTCTTACTCCTTTGGTGTGCTCTGTCTCCAGGAATAGCTCAGTCATTCACACAGGAACCCACTCTAGAAAGCTTAGATTCAATTCTTGACAGTTGAGCTTCCCTCTTCTACTCAGTCACCAAGGCCTACTGATTCAATCTCTTGTTTCAAATCCATGGCCCTTTACCATCCTCACTACCACACTCCTTAGCGAGTTATTACCACCCCACACTCCTACAAGATCCTCCTAGCTTGTCACTACCCATTCACACTCACTCTTCCTATCTATTTGCTCAAGTCTCTAAATTGATTTGTTTCCCAACGTGGAAAAACCAATTGATGCTTTTCTCCTCAAAGTGGTTGGATGAGTTCCTAATAACAAATTTGCAATGGCTCTATCTAATACTTCATTCATCCAACAAATATTTACTGGAAACTACTATGTGCCCAGCAGTGTTCAAGCTCTAAAATTCAGCAAGGAATGAAATGGAGGAGAGGAAACACCAGGAGAGGTGAAGTAGCTCTGAGATGAAGGCGTGCAAGAAATGAAGGAGAAAGCCCATAACCACTCAAGTAAGAAAAGGCTCTCAGCAGAAAAAAGCACATACCCCTGAGAAAGAACCTTGCTCAGAATTCTCGACATTTAGTGAGCAGATCAGTGCAACTGGAATAGATGAACTCAGAGATGGTGGAAGAAAGGAAGAGGCTTGGGGCAAGTGTGGCAGATCATATGGAGGCATCAGAGTCTAAAGACAAGATGTTACTCAACATGAAATTGGAGGAAAGTGAGGAACCATGAGGAGAGGGATGGCCTAAGAGCAATCGTGAGGTGTTCTGGGAGGTGGCTGTGAGCACGGAGAGTTGCGTATTACATGAGGCAGCCAAGGTCTATGTTCCTACAGACGCTCCATTTTACTGGGAGAAAATGGGCAACACACAGCAAGTAATGGGCTAATGAGCTGATCTTGGTTTATGAAAACGTAACAATAGAAGTAAGATCTAATGACGTGGCATGTAATACAGGGGTTAGAATCTTCAGGTGTTCAAAAACAGCCATGGAGGAACTCATGGCAACTTTTAGAAGAGATCGTGGCAAGTTTTAAGATTTTAAGTAGAACTGAATTCTCTTAGAGGATTTAAAGGAAGGATTCAAAACCATAAAATAAATAATATGATTTATGCTTTCAATAATGTATGCCTAATTAGACTAATTAGGTTAATTAAATTAATGGAGCAGAAGCAACTGTGGTTAAATCAGATAAGAAATACTGTTGTGTCAGGTCAGAAGAACATACATGCTGTATTATTTAAGCAAATTGCTGAAAGACTGTATTGGAATGCTACAAGATAAATCAAAGATCAAACAAACCTAGGTTTGGGACCTGAGCCACTGAATGTCCCCTTCTGAAATGCAGAAGATGGGAAAGACCAGAGAATGGAAGTGAGATTAGAGCTGTGATTTGGCCAAGATAATTTGAGATACTTCTTAGACTTCTATGTGGAGAAGCCAGGCGAAGAGTTTAAAAATAGATGGGGATTAAATGTGGGGTCATCTGTATCTGAAGACTTGGGACCAATCCAGGGTCATTTAGAGAAAAACAGTCATTTGAGAACAGTCTAGGGTTGTTGGTGCCCTCTAATATGTACAGGTTCAAAAAAAAAAAACGGTAACACAGAAGATGAAGCAGGGATCTGAATGCTGATGAAATGCTTTTATGGGGTCAGAGAACTAACGGCGAGCGTGGCTATGTGAAAGCCACCTTGCAGGAGTAGAGAGGATAAGGTACAAAAACACAATCCCAGAGGTAACAATTTCCCTCTACGTTTTGCTATAGCAGGGGTGGTGGTGGATGAGATGGAAGGAGTGATGGTCACGTTCTCAATGACAGTCTCAGATTGTGATTTTATAGCAGAGGGAAGGTTCCAGTAGAGAGGCGAATTAATTCTCAAGTAGGGGCACAACCCTAGTGCTCTGTTCAACTGAACATACTAATTAATACTAATTAATTCCAAATTCCCAAAACTGACTTCTAGTTGACTGTCCCCGTAGTCTGGAACCCACAATTGCGCCTTCAACTGTGGTAGAAAGTTGTTATAAGTTACCAGGAGCCTGGGCAATAAAGTATGGCTAGGTCAAATAAAATGTGATAGAACAAGAGAGAACGATCTATAGATGATGGTGTGTCACCTACAGAACCAAGGTTAGACTTAGACTCATAGGGCTGTCTGCTCTATAAAACGCTTCTGAATGTCAGCATTTAGTCGATGTGCTACAAGTCACCCCTACCATAGGGATAATGAATGTTCTAAGACAGAGGATGACCTGACAGTTTAACAGACCCCCGGTCCTTACTTAGCACAACTGACACCATGATGTAAGTACCATTCAGGTTTTGGAACACAGCACGTGAACAACAAAACCTACATCCAAGTCCATAATTCTTGGAAAGTCCCTAAATACACTCACCTTGTGTTGGGGTAGGCTACCTCATAGTGCTGATTCCGGGCCTGGGTGGTAGCTGGGTTGGTCTACCTGTCAGTTTTTCCTCAAGGTCACGAGAGTGAGCTCTCCAGCATTGCCCCTGCCAGCTCACCCACTGCAGCAGACAGCAAGAAGTGGAGTCAATTCTCCTACTCTAATGCCCTTTGGGTCCAGCTCACCCACACTCATACCACCAGGGCCAGCTCTACTGTTTTTCCCAGGCAAGGTACACAGAATGCTCTCTCGTGTCCTGCAGCCAATGAGGGGCAAGGACAGTTTTCCCACTCTTGTACCTGGGGCCAACTCTCCACCTGCCTCAGATGGCAAGTGCCAAGAGGGTTGTGGGACATCTTTACCTCATCCTTGCCACTACAGGGCAGAAAAGGGGGTAGAGTCAGCTCTCCTGCTCTCATGTCCTTAGGGCCGGATTACCTGCACCCCCACCAATAATGTCAGCTCTATTATGATGCCAGGGTTCAGTCAGTGAGGGGCAGGCCCTACTCTGTGCAATTTTATCCTCACTGTTTTTGTTGGTAACAGGAGCCACAGATATCCACACAGACCGAGGCTGGGGCATGGTCACAAACCCAGACATTGCCCTAGACAGCAGCCTAGGCCCAGATGACATCATGGCCCTGGGTGGGTGATGGCACAGGCCACTCAGATCTGTATAGTAACTGCAACAACACAGCCCTCAGACACAAACATAGCCCTAGGTGGCAGCCCGACAGATGTTCGTGTGATCCTTGGTGGCAACATGGGTCATGGATATCAATACAGATCCTGACTGTGGTTATACCATGAACCCAGACATGGTCTTTGTCAGTGACCTAGGCGTAGATGTCACCATGGCACCGGGAACATACACAGGCCACTCAGAATGGCATGGATCTAGAAATTGTATAGTCCTTGAATATCAACATGGCCCCAGGTGGCATCCCAGATTCTGGGCATTTGCATGGCCCTTGATGGCAACAGGAACTTCAGACATCAATGCAGACTCTGGCTGCAGCTGAGTCACAGCTGTATGCCTTGGCCCTAGCTGGTAGCACATGTCATTCAGGTCTATATGACCCTCTCAGTGGCGTGGCCTTCAGGTACTAACATGGCCACAGATAGCACCCCAGATCCCGAGCATCTGTGTGGCCTTCAGTACCAACATAGGCTATGGATATCACCCAGGCTGCAGCAGGACCACGGACCTGGTAACAACCTGGACCCAGATGTCATTATTGCCCTAGCTACCATCACAGGTCACCCAGATCAGCATGGTGCCCCAGACCCTGGGCTTCTGCTCAGCTTTTGATGGTAAGAGGAGCTACAGACATCAGTGCAGACTTGATTGCAACAAGACCGTGGACCCTGACAGCAGCATGGCTCCCAGTGGCAGCGTGGGCCACCCAGATCTGTATGACCTGTGGCGGCATATCCCTCAGACACCAACATGGCCACAGGTGGGGGCCCAGCCTCTCTGTGTCCTCAGGACCCTTGATGGTAACAGGAGCCACAGACATCAACACAGACTGTGTCAGGGCCACAGACCCAGACATGGCCCTTGATAACAGAGCAGGCATGGACATCACCATGGCCCCGGGGGTAAATAGGTCTCCCACGTAAGTCATTTGATCACTGTCCTCAAATCTTCAGATCTACTTCTCTCCCAAGAACATAAACCATCCTCTCTCTCTCTCTCTCTCTCTCTCTCTCTCTCTCTCTCTCTCTCTCTCTGTGTGTGTGTGTGTGTGTGTGTGTGTGTGTGTTTCTGTCTCTCTCTGTCTCTCTGTTTATGTCTCTCTCTATGTGTCTCTGTCTCTCTCTCTGTCTCTCTCTCTCTCTCTTTTCCATTTCTCCATCATATGCTCACTCACCACAATGATCCCCAATGGTACCATTTCTGTTGGCCCAGAGTAAGCATCCAGGGACGGAGCTGTGACTGTCCTCCTTACTCCTGGGCCTCATGGGCCATCATTAGGCCCATCTCCTCAATAAAGGGTCTACAACAAACTCCACTTGTCTCACTCTCCATCCCCCCCACCACCACACACACCGCAGTCTGGAGGCTGTATCAAAACAGACAAGTAGAAATATTCTGGAACCCCACTTCTGTTTGTTTTGTCTCTTCTGAACCACTACCCAGACACTGATGTCCAGTGCCTCTAAAGCCACATTTCGCACTTTTCCCTGAGCTTTTCTGTTGTTTTAGGGGGAGAGTAAATCCATTTCCTGCTAATGTATCTCAATAAAGGTAATTCTTGACTTCAGCTGGTTTTTATTACTCCCTCACCCCATGCCTTCTGTTTCCTGCCTTGGGGCTTTGTTCATGCAGCCTCCTTTATTTGAAGTACGTATTCCT